ATTATCTCAGCCTGCCGTGTCTTCTTGTTGCATTGCAGCTGCTGGATACGCCGTGCACCGGCAGCGAAGGCCGTCAGCCGAGCCTTGTTAGCCTCAAAGTCCTTCTCGAGCTCGGAAGCAGCAGCCGACCTTTGCTGTCGAAGGTCAGAAATTTGACGCTCGAGGTCAGAGATCTGGCGATCAAACTCGATCAGCTTCGCTTTCCTTGCTTTGATTGCCTCCAACTCTACTCGGCCAGCCTCCTGCGCGACCTTGGCCACCTTCAGGTCATCCTCGGCTTGTAGTGCTCGCTCGAAGATAAGAAAGTGGTGCCGAGTCCGCTCCAGGAGATCGGTGAGGAAAGAGATGCCCTCCGGGCTCAGGTAACCACCACTGGCGAGGTCGTTAAGACACTCTCCAACAGAGTCAAGACCCTGGCATCGGAGAGCTTGGGAGGCAGTGAGAGAAAGGACTTCGCGCAGCTTCACGAAGACTTCGGCCTCGGGCATGGCTCCTGCTGGTTCGGCAGGAGCGGCGGAGGAGCCGGCCTCACCGGTCGTGCTCTGGAGTAGAGCGTCAAGCTCCAACTCCCACGATGGCTGCACATAAGAGGAAATTTTTGTGAAGAATAGTAAAAACATCGTGGTATAGTACATCAAAAGAAAGAGGATTGTTTTAGACCTACCGAGAGGAGACTTCGGCCATGCCCTCTGGGTCATTGCTCGAACCCAGGGAACTTAATGGCCGAGCCCAGTACCTCAGACCGCTTCTCAATTCACGCGGCCGATGGAGGTCATCTACATTTGATGGCCACGACGGTGGCCAAGAAATATAGACAACGCCCGTCGGCGCATAAAATTGTCGGTGAAATGACCGTTCGGGCACCTGACATTTAATAGTCTTTTAAGAACATGTCATGGGAAAATTAATACAAAAAGTGAAGACTTACATAGGCCGAGGAGACTTCCTGCGGAGGAATGGGGAGGTCTTCGTCCTGCGGGTGGATCGGCGACTCGGCCGTGGCCTCAGGGTCGGTCTCTTGCCGCGATCCGCCGCAGGAGGAGTCGGTCGAGCAGTCGCCTCCACAACCGGAGGAGGATGAACGGGAGGAGAGTTGACTGGTCGGCGACGGCGTGCCAAGGGGACCTCTTCGCTCTCGCTCTCGACATCCTGAACAAAAAGAAACTTGTGTCATGACCGAAAACCTAAAGGAACGAGGAGAGAAGTAGAATCATACCTCCAGAACGACCGTTGGAGAAGAGGGTCCCTCGACAGGTGCTGCCGACTTCCCCGCGGCAGGCGCCACGACCGGCTCCGAGGCTGGAGCTGGTGCGCCGATGGGGGCGGCCGTGGCCTCAGGAGAAGAGACGGCTGGTGGAGTCGGGGCATCCGGCAAAGGAGGAGAGCCGGCAGGAGCAGCCGTCCCTGTAGTATCACTAGGGACGACATGAATTTCCCGGTCGCCCTTCTTCGCTAATTTCTTGACGCGTTTAGAAGGGCGAGAGGCATCAACCTCCGGCTCGGCCGCTCGGTGGGGGCGTTTGGCCGGAACTGCTCGCTCGGTGGCGATGGGCTTCTGCACCTTCTTCGCCTTCGCCACCGCGGCGACCACCTCTACCTTCCTCGGCATACGACTCCCTGAAGGGCAAGGTGATTAGTAACAAGGATCAAGTTACAAAAAAGAAAAAGAAAGGCGGAAAAACTACCTTGGGCCGGCTCCTTAGGTTTAGCCGAGGACGTCGACCGAGGACGGTCGCCGAAGATCTTCTCCACCAGATCTTCGGCCGGGGCACCGAAGAAGTCGTCAGTGTACTCCTCCCACCAGTCCCCGAAGGTGTCGGTTCCCAAAGATTCAGGAACCGCCGGCCGAATCCGGAACTTCCTGCACTTCTCTTGGAACTCCTGGTCGGACGTCTTGCACTCCCTCTCAGAGGAGCCGGTAAGACGTCCCCGACTCAGGAGTGACCGAGAAGCGAGCACGGAGACTGGGCTGCCCTGGAGATAACCAAGCTGCCGGGCGACAAAATTGGGGTGGTAGACCTCCCAGCCCGCTCACCGGGCATCGCAACCTAGTGGAAGGTCACGAGCCACAACGAACGACCCCCATCGCTGACGAATGTCCGCATCCTCGGACGCGGCCCACGTTGCCGTAGGAAGCCTGAGCGAGGAAGGGTACTCCTGGCGCCGGCACACCAGGAACTCGTCATCCGAGAGGACGTCGAGGCTGAGGAAGTGTTTGAAGACCTCGTCGGCTCGGTGAGGAGGCGCCGGTCGAGAGGCCAGTTGAAGGCCAAGGGCGGCCGTTCGGTCGAAGGCAGGAACCTCCGGTCGAAGGGTGGAAAAGTAGACCTGCAACTAGAGTTAGAACACCCAGAGGGGTCCGTTCTAGTGCGGGTCAATCTTGCCAATGGTCGCCTCAGCCAGGCAACGGTAGAGGTTGGCGAGTATGGCTGGACTGAGCGCCAGCAAGCGACCATTGGCCAGTGCCTGGGCTACCGGCATGTTCTCCACCAGGCACTTGTTCGACCTGGTACAATAGATGAATTTGTTGTACCAGTAGAAGAGGAAGGCCTCGTGCTCTCCCTTCCTCAGGCCCTCCTCGCCTCGACCGGCGAAATGCAGGATGAGGGTGTTGTAGTTGAAGAAGTTCTTGTGGAGTTTTTTGAACTTCTTCCCTTGAGGGTTCCCGATCGCCCCGGCTCAGTGTTTCGACGGTCCTTTCGTCGAATAGCGCCTTCAGGTCGAGAGGAGAAGGGTATCCAGAAAGGGCGGCGTCAATAGGAAGGCTGGTCGGGGAAGTCCCAAGGATGGCCGAGACGTCGAGGATTGTGGGGCCGAGGGGGCCGAAAGGCAAGACCATGGTGTTGGTGGTCGAACACCATAGACTCAGGGCCGCCAGGAGCAGCTCCTTATCCATGGCAATCTCCATGGTTGACAGCATAATGGCATCATAGATGCCAAGAGCCTTCCACTCCTTGGAGAAGAATGCGCTCATCCGGTCGACCCAGGCAGCCCAAGCCGTGGTGGTCGAGGGCCAGGCTCCCTGAGGCCGCGCCAGAGTCCACTTTGACCAGTCGAACCCCTGCAGCAGGGGTGTTAAACACTGCTCCTTGAGCAGGTCAGTAACGGACGACGGCACTGCGTCTCTGAAGAGGGGACCCAGAATTTGGTGGGTGGTGGCCATGTCCTCTTCAAATCGCAGCGTCTTGACGGTGCTCCGATCAATGAAGTCTTTGCACTTGTTGATCTCCTCGGAAAGTTTCGCGATAAAGGAAGCCATTAGAGTAATCTGGAAGAACTGGAAAGATTGCAGAAAGGAAAACTAGAGGGTTTGGTCTGAACGAGCAAGGATGATTAAAATTTGAGAGTTTGGGATTTCTGAAAGCGTAAGATACGAATAGAGTAAAGTGTGGGTATTTATAGGCTTTTCAGATTGAAGGTCAAACGCCTGAATTTCGAAAGGGATTGGAATTCGAAAAGCGTTAGTTCAAATTGGGGGGAAATGTAACCGGGAAAGCCTGCAATCATTTCGGATATTTTGGGAACCTGCGAAAATGGGATCGAGGAGTCGAAAATCCAGGACGCACGATGGCGTGCAGCGACAGGTTCAATGTATTAATAAGGATAAGACGGTTCAATTAGTGCACGGTTTCGAGGCCCATGATTGAAGCTTTTAAGAGCGGCGGAAGATTGACACGTGGCCATGCGTTGGGGGCAACGAGGAAGGTGCAATCATGTCTCATAAATATGCAGGAATAATGGTCATTAATGAAGTAAGGTCCAAAAAAGCAATAAATGTTTTCGCTTCTTCAAGGCCGAGGCTCGACCAAGAGTTAACAGTCGGCGACCTCAGAAGCGAGGGGGCAATGTTTGGGCCCAAAATATTATGATTGGGCCGAGCAGCAAGATGTGCTCGGCCCAAGGTAATGACACATGCTATGGGCCAAATAATGAAACCCGGACCAGCTGGCAGGGTCGGCCAGATCCTATCTTAAGTAGTCCAGATGAATGAGGAAAGGTCGAGGAAATCCTAGTGCGACCAGGATTCTCGACCGGCAAGGGATAAAGCTTCAAAAGGAGGAGAATTCAGAATCCCAGTAGGACTAGGATTGTTCGAGTTAAAGGTGAGATGGGACAAGGACTCCCAATCCAAATCAGAATGGGATTCAAGGAGCGAGGTGCTATAAATACAAGAAATTACGCAATAGAAATGACCTTGACAATCAGCATCCAATTGCCCTGCGCAAAACTTCTCAAACACCTTGAGATTTTTCCTTTCTTTCCTGCCGACACACCTTCAGTTTGGATAAACAGCACTGTGGAAGCAACCGGTGAGCACCTTCAGTTTGGATAAACAGCACTGCTGCCGCAGAATCAGCCGACCGAGAAACACCTTCAGTTTGGATAAACAGCACTGCGTCGAGGTCGACCGATTATCTATCTAAGTCTCAGCCAAGAAGGGTTTTCGAACCTTTGTTGGTAGAGGTCATCTAACTAAGCCTTTTCGGCGTAGTTGGGTGTTACGAGTTGCATTGCTCGGCGTATTGGACGCCGAGTGAGTTTATGATTGGATACTCGCAAATAAGTTTCAGGGTTCGGCATTCCGACGGCCGAACTACGTTTACCATCAAGACATACATCACATTCGAGTACCTGTGCCCATATAGTTTGGTCTCGATTCGGCGTGCTTATACTCTTACGAATATAATCACAGTGACCGAATCAGGGTCCGACGACTTGTGAACTCCGTAGAATTAGTAGCCTTGTCTTCAGGCTATAGAACCCAGAGGCCGAGAGCGTTCCTTCCTCGGTCGCAATCGCAAGATACAGAAGTCAATAGCGCACCCAACGCGACATCACATTTTACTCCTCGGCCGAGCTCGGCCGACGAGTTGGCACGCCCCGCATTCAACCGAAGGACGTAGTTAGCTCATTAGTTACTCGGCCTGCGCGCCACGTAGGTTTTGTAATTTTTGTAGTCAACAGTACTATAAAATGAAACAAGCAAAGGAAATACGCACCATCCATAGTTTGTCCAGATCAAAGTTCAAGTCAATGTATACAGCAGCTGCCACTGCCTCCACAATTTCTGCAAGAACACGACTGGGTTGTATAGCCCCATCATATACAAGTGTCGGCTCATTTTTTCCATTCCATATAGATACCTCTCTGGCAAACTCTCTTACCTAAAAATTTAAATCAAATTGCTCATTAAAACAAAAGTAAAAATACCATTACTTAACGCTGCCACAAATCTTTTAAACAAATTTCAACAAGAAAAACACAATAAAAACTTAAATCAAAAGGGGGTAAAGAGGCACCTGCTTTTAAAATACTAACTTATGTGTGACAATGTTTCATTTACAAACTTCTTCATAGAAATAAGAAATTAATGTTCACATTAGTTAGTTGGTAATCAAAAGCTCAGGAAATATTTCAGTGACTCTAATTATATGTACACATTTTTTTAAGGGAGTTGTTATTGTCATTCTAAAATTCTCATTTTGCACTCTAAACTTTCTATGTTTAGAAAGAAAAATACATATAAAAAAAGTGTAAAATAGAATATTTGGAATGCAAATAATTGTTCCCTTTCTTTTTTCTTCTTTTTTTTTTTTTTTTCATGTTATGATATATCAGTCTTTTCTCAAAAGACATGGGTTTGAAATGCCTTTGTCAGTCCCAACACCCAGAAGGGTGTGCACTAGAAGGGTTGTGCCTCTGCTCAAAAGACATTCATTGTGCCCCAAGCAAAGGCTGTTTCTCTAGGCCTGGCAAAGTTTTTAACGATGGAAGGATTTGTACCCTTGTGACTACGAACCAAGCTAGCTAACTAGTTTAGGGTTACTGAAGCCCTTTGTTGGTCCCCTTTAAAAAAAAAGAAAAAAATTATAATATTTAACTTCTTAAAAAAAAAATAAATAAAAAAAGAAGAAAGAAAGATGTTATTGGCATTTAAAGCAAAAAATAAAAAAATTCATTCGAGTTTTATTACATTTTTTTTCTTCTTATATTTTAGTGTATGATAATTTTTTCTTTTAGTATGCCAAATTGCCAATAATAGCTCCTTTGAAAATTAAAAACCTCTACAAATTGCAAATTCGACTTTTCAATTTTCAAAAAATACAAAAAATAAGAAAATTATTATTGACACTTCGAAAATCTTATTTTGTACTATAAATAACAATGAGATTTTAGAAATGCTAATAACAATTCTAAAAAAATAATAGTAATACAGTATGTACGTAACAATTGAAAGAAATCAGAGAGAGAGAGAGCACAAACAATGACCTCATTATCGAGAGCAGGTGATCTGTGGCGAAGGCAGCCATAAAAACCATGTTTTACAGCGGCGCATGCGAACTTCCCCCTACTAACATTTGCGGAGCGGAGCTCAGTGAAGTTGCATTGATCCATATTGGGGTAAGCAAGAAAGAGGTGATTACTCATAGCGAGGCCAAGGGCGGCGTCGCCGAGCACCGCGAGACGCTTATACGAGGGAAAGTAAGTGATGGAGGAGTGTGTGAGAGCTTCCTCTAGGAGCCTCTTGTTCTTGAAGTTGTGACCTACGATTTTCTCCATGGCCGTCACTGAATCTTTCATTTCCGGCGATGGCTGAAGCTCGCGATCGAGGGATGCTGAGATGGTGAAGAGTTTCATGTTGCTGAATTGGAAGATCGATCGCGGTTGACAGTGTTGAGGCAATTAAGTTAAACAACCTTAACAGTAAAAGTAAGACTTAAAAGTAAGACTAAAGAATGTTAAAGAGAGAAAAATAGAAAAGGGGTAAAACAGTGCGGCCGAGGTTGTAACGTGCGAGAATAGATCCTCTCCGGATCTCTTTAACCAACATCATCAAATTAAGTGATTCGAACTTTTAAAATTTTATCCAACGATAAAAATTATTATAGCTTTTAAGATGTCAAAATAAGTGAACAGTTGAATGAAATTTCAAAAATCTAAATTACTTGATTCAGAGATGATCTCTTCTCGTAACATGGGGATTGGTTGATGGTGTTGAGGCAATTAAGTAAGGAAAATGATCCTCATCAGATCTTTTTCCTGAGAATTTGGAAAAACTCGTAATCGTGTCCGTTTATTGTACAATGTACAGTTGATTTTCATTAAGTAGTATTTATACTTAATTTTAAATTTTAAATAATTTCTAACCGTATGATGAATGAATACAATTACGAGATGTTCTGAATCCTTTCCTGGAACCAGCGATGATCCTTTCTCCATTAAGTAAAGCAACATTAACAGTAAAAGTAAGACTAAAGAATGGTAAAGAGAGAGAAAAAGATAAAAGGGGTAAAACATTGCGGCCGAGGTTGTCATGTGGGAATTGGTTGATGAATATTGAATCATGGTAATCTATTCCCAGTTTGCGTCCAGTTTCAGTGAATCAGTGGTGTCGCAGGACCACATCTAACCAAATAGGAGATTACATTTTATACATCAATTTATAATTTTTTTTTTTTTATAAGACTTATGAATCCATACAATGTTAAAATTCTATATATTTTTGTTATTGAGGTATAGAGTTACATCTCTTCATGAAACAAGGTCTTGAGTTCTATATACATTCATAGCCGTTGTTTATCAGCAATAAAGTTTATTCCCAAATTCGAGTCGTGTCTAGAAAGTATGAAACACATAAGGTTCGCCAAAGTTCTAATTGTTTGTATTAATCTTGAACCTATCTAATGCTGTGATCTTCTTTACGATTATTAATATTGGAATTCTTTTATTATTTTCTTATTTTCTATTATTACTCCAACAATTCTAAAGACAAAATTTTCTTGCAATAATTAGAAAAATATGGATTTAAGGAGAGTGAGGTGGGTATTATGGTGAAGAACTATTATGCAAAGTGGAGGGAAATGGTATCGGTGCCGAGGCTGATGAGTGGCTGTATTGATCGATCTGTCTAGAATTTGAGAGAGTTTGTAATGTAGTCATGTTCTAAGATTCTAACTAAACTACTCGGAAGATCAAAAACTTAATGAAGACCGAGATCTCGATCATGCCCTAACCGAGGCGAAAAAGTTCAGTAGCATAATTCTGAACACTACAATCCTCAAATCTCTAGGTAAGATCCTTGCGCTGACTAAGAAGAACCATATCTCACCTGTAACAGTGTTAGCAGTGAAACCACCTAATTGCTGATTTCAACTTTCAAAGTGTACGGCTATGCCTAATCGAGATCTCGCTCCAATCCAATCAAAACAAGGACAAACTTTCATTTGTTTCATTTCAGTGCTTTGTGGAACCTAAACAACCCGTAAACTCCATCCAATCAAACAATCGCTTGAAGCGGGGAATAGACAGTCTGAAAACTACGACGAGCACAAATAAATGTTACAGGTTCAAATCCTAACCTAAATCTAGAGGCATGAGACACAACATTTTCCTATAATCCATGGTTGTTCTTGCATAACTGCAACCTCTTAAGTTGCATAAGGAATTGTCCTCTAACCTATGCATTCATATTTCAAATGCAGCAGGAAGCACAAGAGCCTACCATGCATGTATCTCAGAACATAAAGAGAATTAGAGTTGCATCATATATAACCAGATTCTTGTAAAGCACAGATCATAGACGAAGCTGCAGAGTTGTCCGCATCTTTTATTCTCGACCTTTCATCTCCCACCATGCATAGCACACCATCCGCAGTTGCAATTTTGACCGACGATAAAAATCTCCTCTCATGTGAAGGACCTTCATCTTTCTCAATGCTGCAATATGAAAAACAAATACAAATATGCATAACTACAGAATAGACAAATCCTAACCTAAATCCTATAGGCATGAAACACATTATTTTCCTATAATCCATGGTTATTCTTGCAGGACTCCAGCCATACGGAATTTTCCTCTAACCTATGCATTCAAATTTCAAATGCAACAGGAGGTACAAGAGCCCACCACACATACAAAGCACATATATATCTCAGGAAGAAGAATAAAAAATCAGAGTTGTATCATATATAACCAGATTCTTGTACAGCACAGGTCATCAACGAAGCTGCAGAGTTGTCCACATCTTTTATTCTCGACATTTCATCACCTATCACGAAAGCACACCATCCGCGGTTGCAATTTTAACTGAGGATACAAATTTCTTCTTATGTTTTGTCTTGATACTGTGCCACCCATAAAAATCTGGTGGTACACATGAATATAGAACATGATTAACATTCAATCCATGACCAACATTCTTATTTAGTCCAGAACATCAAACGAGGCCATACAAACAAGCTCTTTGAAATTCCAAGGGGAATCAAGTGTGACCTCCAAATATGGAAATAAAGGGAAGGGCTATCCAATAACTAATTCGACCACAGTAAAGAAAATAACTAACAGACTTATTCCTTTGAAACAAAAAACAAGCAGCCTTGTCACCCAACGAATCATAACCCAAAGTCTGTAGAGTACTGAGGGAAAATAACCAATCCTACTATTAGCTGCTTCTTTGGTGTTGGTCATAGCATCAGACTGTAGTAAACCAAGGATCATCAAGGCAGCCGCAGAATTCTCCGCATCTTTTATTCTCGACCTTTCATCTCCCATCATTTTTAGCTCTAAAGTTGAAATTTCAACTGATGATACAAATCTCTTCTCATGTACAGGACCAGATTCTTTCTCTTTGCTACATTAGAAAAGTAAATATGCGTGGATTATTTAAAATATTATGACAACATATTTCTATAAAAAAAAAAAAAAAGGTAATTGAAGATGTTCGTACTTGTAAGTTGGTCTAGGGATCCTCTTCTCGTCACAAAGCACATTCAAATTCTGTTTGGCTTCATTTTCAGCAGCAACATCAACCAACTCAGAGCTTATGCCGAATGTTTTGGACAACTCAGGTAGAGCTTTTCTTGCAGCATGAAGCCTTGCAATTGCCATATGTTTATAAGAAGCCGAGGCAATTAAGATACCATCAACATACACACTAGCAATACTTAAATTTTCGGTATCATTTATGTCCCCCTTGATTTTAACGAACTTTCCATGCGTCTGGCAAAGCTTATACAACACTGACACAGGGTGATCTAACAATCCTTCGAGAGTAATTATAGGCTCCAAGAGATGCTTAAATTTCTACAAATGTACCACAACAGATAATTAACACAAAAACCACTAGTTCGAGTTCAAACAAACTTTCAAACCCTAATTAAAAACTCAATGAAAGATTTCCATAATTGTCATATAAAATGAAACAAGCAAATGAAATACGCACCATCCATAGTTTGTCCAGATCAAAGTTCAAGTCAATGTATATAGCAGCTGCCACTGACTCCACAATATCTCCAAGAACATGATTGGGTTGTATGGTCCCATCGTATACAAGCGTCATCTCATATTTTTCATTCCATTCCGATACCGCTTTGGCAAACTCCCCAACCTAAAATTTAAACCAAATTGCTCATAAAACCAAAAGTAAAAACACCATTACTTACCACAAATCTTTTAAGCAAACTTAAACAAGAAAAACACTAGAAAAGTTACATCAAAAGGGGGTAAAGAGGCACCCGCTTTAAGACACTGACTTATGCGACTGTTTCATTTACAAACTTCTTCGTAGAAATAAGAAATGTTCACATTAATAAGATGGTAATCAAAAGTTCATGTAATATACATATTTTTTTATCTCATTTTTCATGTTATATGTTAAGATATATCAATCTTTTCTCAACACACATGGAGTCAAATATAATATTTAACTTATTATACAAATCAAAAAGAGATGTTATAATTGGCGTTTAAAGAAACAAAAACCTTCATCCTGCATGAGTTTTATTACATTTGCTTATGATGTACTATTTTTTTTAATATGCCAAATAGCCAGTAATAGCTTCTCTGAAAATTAAAAACCTCCACAAATTGCAAATTCAACTTTTCAACTTAAAATAGTACCAAAAATAATAATAATAATACAGTATGTAACAATTAAAAGAAACCAGAGAGAGCTCAGACAATGACCTCATCATCGAGCGCAGATGATTTTTGGTTAAGGCAGCCATAAAAACCATGTTTTACAGCGGCGAGTGCGAACTTCACGTTATTAACATTGGCGGAGCGGAGATTAGTGAAGTTGTCTTGATCCATGTTGGGGTAAGCAAGAAAGAGGTGATTACTCATAGCGAGTTCAAGGGTGGCGTCGCCAAGCACCGCGAGACGCTTATACGAGGGAGAGCAAGTGATGGAGGAGTGTGTAAGAGCTTCCTCTAGAAGCCTCTTGTTCTTGAAGTTGTGGCCTACGATTTTCTCCATGGCCATCACTTTGTCTTTCATTTCCGGCGATGGCTGGAGATTGCGATCGAGGGATGCTGACTTAGTGAAGAGCTTCATGTTGCTGAATTGGAATATCGCCGTTGAGGTGTGGTGAAGTAAAACTAGCTAGTTGGATTTGGAATTGGAAGTACCAAAAAATTAACTCTTAAGTAGTAATGGAAAGCAGTTAAGCAATCTTAATAGTCAAAGTAAGGGATCTATTCCCTATTTGCGGAAAAGAATGTTAAAGGAAAAGAAAAAAGAATAAGGGTAATACAGTGTGGCCGAGGTTGTCGTGTAGGGATTGGTTGATGAATCATCGGAATCGATTCCCCATTTGCATCAAAAGTTTAAACATCTTGAGTTTCTCAACTTTTAACAATTGATTTTGCGTTAGAATACCTTCCACCGATGTATCCAAAACCTCTCCACTTTTCAGCATCTCAACCAGACCTTTCGCATCCACTTCTACTTCAATCTTCCGTAACCCCTTTTCCAAACATTCAGTGAGGCCAGTGCGCATAGCTTCTGCCTCCGCCATAAAGCTCGACTGACAATGAAATCCTCCTGCTCCCTCAGCCATCACTAAACAGCCTAACGTCGATCTTGCGCCGCCCAGCAGTTGGTTCTTTGTTCACTGTGGGTTTGGGTCAATGCTGGAGTCTTTGTTGAGTGAAAATCAGATTGTTCTGGTTCCACGACTGGTGAACCAGATCTTGGTAACCAAGTTGATGGTTAAAGAGCTCAAGGTTGCTATGGAGGTGGAGAGAGAAGAAGATGGGCGGTTTTCAAAGGAGAGCTTAAGCGAGGTTGTAAAATTTGTAATGGATAAGGAGAGTGAGGGGCTATTATACGGTGAAGAACAACCATGCAAAGTGGAGGGAAGTGGCTATATTGATCAAGCCTAGCAACAATAGAAATGGGGTGACGTAGAGGGCATGTGACCATTTGGCTGAGGACGTAGTGCTTTGATACCATTTAGCTTCATGCAAGATATCTCCTCCATCGATGTGGGATTCATTCTCAACAATCTCTAGGTAAGCTCCTTGCACTGACTAAGCACCATACCTCACCTGCAACAATTAATGTTAGCAGTGAAACCACCTAATTGACGACTTCAACTTTTAAAGAGTACTTCTATGCCTAATCTGCTCTGGTAGCTTTAAGAGCCGAGACAAGGACAATCTTTCACTTGTTTCATTTTGTCTCTCCATGTCTCCGAGCCATCGCAGGACTATCACCTTTAAGTTTTTTTTTAAAAAAAAAAACCATAAAATTGAGCTCCTAGACTAGCATAAAACTATACTTCATTTTCTATTGTTGATTGTAGGTCACTTGTTTTAGATCATATAAATTTTGATACAAAAGTGCTCTGTCGAACTTAAACTGCCAGTAAACTCTATCCAATCATGCCAACACTTGAAACAGGGCACACCCGGTCCGAAAACTATGGTGAGCACAAACCACATGTTACAGGATCAAATCCTAACCTAAATCCTGTAGGCACGAAACACATTATTTTCCTATAATCCATGACCAACATTCTTATTTAGTCCTGAACATCGAACGAGGCCATACAAACAAGCTCTTTGAAATTCCAAGAGGAATCAAGAGTGACCTCCAAATATGGAAATAAAGAGAAAGGCTACCCAATAACTAATTTGACCACGGTAAAGAAAATAACTAACAGACTTATTCCTTTGAAACAAAAAACAAGCAGCCTCGTCACCCAACGAATCATAACACAAGTCTGTAGAGTACTGAGGGAAAATAACCAATCCTACTATTACCTGCTTCTTTGGTGTTGGTCATAGTATCAGATTGTAGTAAACCAAGGATCATCAAGGCAGCCGCAGAATTCTGCGCATCTTTTATTGTCGACCTTTCATCTCCCATCATTTTTAGCTCTACAGTTGCAATTTCAACTGATGATACAAATCTCTTCTCATGTGCAGGACCAGATTCTTTCTCAATTCTACAATAGCAAAGTAAATATTCGTGGATTATTTAAAATATTATGACAACATATTTCTATAAACACAAAAAAAAAAATAATAATAATAATTGAAGAGTTCGTACTTGTAAGTTGGTTTAGGGATCCTCTTCTTGTCACAAAGCACATTCAAATTCTGTTTAGCTTCATTTTCTGTAACAACTTTAACCGACTTACAGCTTATGCCGAATGAATTGGACAACTCAGATAGAGCTGTTCGTGCAGCAGAAAGCCTAGCAATTTCCATATGCTTATAAGAAGCCGAGGCAACGATGTAACCATCAACACGTACACAAGCAATACTTAAATTTTCGGTATTATTTCTCGACCCCTGGATTTCAACACGCATTCCATGCTTTTGGCAAAACTTAAACAACACTGTCACAGGGTGATGTGGCAATCCCTCGAGAGTAACTATAGGCTCCAAAAGATGCTTGAATTTCTACAAAATGTACCGCAACGGATAATTAACATAAAAACTGTTGAAGGATAAGCATTAGTGCAGAATTTCTTAAACAGATTGTTTTTCATAGTCTGGGTTTAAGTTCTTGTCGTTCACGTTTTGTAATAGACGACTAAGATTATAACATTATAGACCGTTGTATGTATGCCAGCTGTTACAGCAGCCATGTGTTTTTTAAGTGATTAACGTGTTGTGCACGTAATTGAGTCATGCTGAAAGTGTGAAGGAAGCAACGGCTATATTCCATCCTCTTCAGTGTGTGTGTGATGTGTAACTGAATCAAATTGAATCCAAGAGGAGCAACGTACTCTGCTTTCTTCCTTCATTTTCTCTGCGATTCCAGCTTCTTGCATTCATCAATTTCTCATTGATTTCTATTTTAAAACTTACCAAAACAATACACAAACCAATACAAACACTAACATGTCCTCAGAGCTTAGTTTGACTTGAATCAAGGGGTCTGAAACTGTGATTTGAGTTTTCTGTGTTTTCAACGGAGAACTTAGTTGAATCAAAGAACGAAATGGCTGAATGTGGAGCTGAGCTTTGAGCTCCGATCACTGGAGTCAACTACGACTTTTGGTGTATTAGGACGAAGACTATCTTCAAATCCCAGCATTGTGAAAATTTGTAGATGAAGGAGTAGAGTTTCCAGATGAGTCCGATGAAGAACTCACTAAGAAGAAGCAGATCGTGATTCAAGACCTCATTACAAAGGCATTGGGACTTATTCAGGGGGCTGTATCCGATGAGATCTTTCCTTGGATTGCAAATCTAGAAACATCTAAGGAAGCTTGGGACGTCTTGAAGCAGGAATACAAGGGTGATTCACAAGTTATGGCGGTGAAACTTCAAGGTATTCGTTGTGATTTTGAATATTCTAGAATCAGATATGGTGAAGCATTGTCTGATTATTTGACTAGGCTCTTTAGATTGATTAATCAAATGAAAATCTATGGTGAAGAATTGTCGAATAAGAGGATTGTAGAAAAGCTATTGATTAGTCTTATCCCAACATCTGATAACATTGTATCTGTGATTGATGTAACTAAGAAAATCAGTGTGATTGACCCCACTGAGGTTGTAGCAACTCTCAAGGGTTTTGAAAAAAGATTATTGAGGCATGCTGAAGCTAGAGATGTGACTGAGAGGGATTTCAGTTGTCTCGGTATTCAATCTAGGAATAGCCCACAGGCTAGTGGTTTCAAGAGCAAGAAGTTTTGGAAGAATAAGGAGAAAATGGGGTCTGTGAAGTCTAATGCAATTATAAAGTACAACGGAAGTAGGGAGAATTCAAAGGAGATTTGCAGGACTTGTGACAGTTTACATTATGGTGAATGTTGGTTTAAAGAGAAGCCAAAATGCCCCAAGCGTGAGAAATTTGGTCACAATGCCAAGGATTGCAGAAGCAAGATAGTGCAACAAGTTCACTCTGCCAAGGAAGCTGGAGAAGAAACTGCAATGCTTTTTTGCCTGCAATTCCGCACCAATTGTTAAGAATGCACATGTGTGGTACATTGATAGTGGTTTCAGTAACTATATGATCTCACATGAATTATTGCTTATCAATGTTGACAGAGATGTAACTATAAGAATCAAAATGGGATGTACAAGCCATTGCAAATGGTACATTAGTTATTGAGACCAAGAATGGAACTAGAAACATCAACGAAATGATGCTAGTTCCAGGATTGGATGAGAATCTGTTGAGTGTGGGGAAAATGATAAAACATGGTTATTTTCTGGTATTTAGAGATGACAAGGTTGCAATCTTTGAAGATAGAAAACTTGAGCATCATGTGATTGTCAAGAAGATTTTCTTTCAAGAAGTGTGATATTTGATGAAAATGGAACTTGGGACTGGAAAACTAAAGAAGATGTTTCAACGTCATTTCCTGTGAATTTAGATTTGAATGAGAGGCACAAGGAGATTGAAATGACTTAGGTTAACACTGAGAGATAAGTTCAGCTAAAAGTGAGAAATTCTCAGCAACATATATTTGTTGATTCACATAGACTTTTGGAGAATCAAGTAATTCACACGACACTCCAGTAAAATTGAAGAAAGTTAGTGATATCTAAGAAAATGTAATCTCAGTATTATTGAACATGAGAGATGAGAAGAAAGTTGCATCTAATAGTGCTTGGAAGAAAGCAATGAATTTAGAGACTGAAATGATAGAGAAGAACAAAACATGGGATTTGGTTGAGGATAAGCCAATTGTTGGATTCAAGTGGGTTTTCACGACCACATTGAACCTAGATGGCATTATACAGAAGCACAAGGCAAGCTTTGTAGCCAAAAGTTAACCTAAAAGTTTGGTATTAACTTCAACTATTGCCCCAGCTGCGAGGCTAGACACTATAAGAACGTTGATTGCTTTAGCCTCTCAGAGAAGTTAGAAATTCTACCAACATGATGTCAAGTTTGCATTTCTCAATGGTGTTCTGCAAGAAGAAGTCCATGTTGATCAACCAGAGGGATTTGTAGTAGCATGAGCTGAAGACAAGGTTTATAGATTCAAGAAAGCACTTTACGGTTTGAAACAAGCACCAAGGGCCTGGTACGAAGAAATTGAATCAAATCTGCATAAGTATAGTTTCACAAGGAGTCCAAGTGAAACTACACTCTATATCAAGACAAGGGGTGAATCTGAATCCATTATTGTGTCAATCTATGTGGATGATATTATCCATACTAGAAGCAGTCTTCAGTTGATAAATGAGTTCAAAGCAAACATGATGAAGCGAGATGAGATGACATCTTTTGGTTTATTGTCGGAAATTGTTCAATCTGAGCATGGGATTTTCATAAACCAAAGAAAATATGCATGGACTTTTTTTGGAAAATTTGGATTGAAGGATTGTAAACTAGTTAGTACTCCACTATCTGTGAATGAAAAATTGAAAAATGATGATGGAGGTGATCTTGTAGATGAAGCTTTGTACAACAAAGCCTGATATAATGTTTACAAGTTTGTTATAAAGGTTTCTGCACAATCCTACCAAGAAACATCTTGGAACATCCAAAAAGGTCCTAAGGTACATTCAAGGTACTTTTGGATAATGGAATTGAATATGAAAAAGGGAAATCATCACCGTTGATTGCATATTGTGATAGTGATTGAAGAGGTGATGAATCTGATATGAAGAGCACTTCGGCCTATGGATTTTCATTTGGTAGTGGGATTTTTTCTTGGGCTTCAGTCAAGGAGCACTGTGTAGCTTTATCAACTGCAAAGGCTGAGTACGGGAGCTGCAGAAGCAACAGTTCAGGCAGTGTGGTTCAAGTTTGTGTTGGAGGATTTTGGTGAAGAACAAGGAATCCTGTGTTTCACCAAAGATGAAAACACATTGGCAGGAGGTATTACTACATTAGGGAAACTTTGCAATATTCCAACGTTATCAATCTGATTTATTGCAAGTCTGAAGAGCAATTGGCATATGTCTTTACCAAAGCTTTGCAAAAGGACAGATTCTACATGCTTAGAGGATTACTTGGAGTCAAATACGCAACAAGTTTTAGAAAGGAGGATTGAAGTACAAGCATTGGTGCAGATTTTATTCAACAGATTGCTTCTCATTTTTTGGGTTTAAGCTCATGTTGTTCATGTAATAGACCGTCAGATGTATGCCAGTAGTTATATTAGCTGTGTGTGTTTAAGTGATCAAGGTGTTTTGCACATCATCGAGTCATGCTGCAAGTGTGAAGGAAGCAACGACTATATTCCTTCCTCTTCAGTGTTTGTGATCTGTAACTGAATCAAATTGAATCCAAGAGGAGCAACATACTCCACTTTTCGTTCTTCATTTTCTTTGCAATTCTAGGTTCTTGTGTTCCTCAATTTCTCATTCATTTCTATTGCAAAACTTACCAAAACAATACACAAACCAAGACAAAAACTAACAAAAACCACTAGTTAGAGTTCAAACCAACTTCCAAACCCTAATTAAAAACTCAAAGAAGGTTTCCATACGTGTACTATAAAATGAAACAAGCAAAGGAAATACGCACCATCCATAGTTTGTCCAGATCAAAGTTCAAGTCAATGTATACAGCAGCTGCCACTGCCTCCACAATTTCTGCAAGAACACGACTGGGTTGTATAGCCCCATCATATACAAGTGTCGGCTCATTTTTTCCATTCCATATCGATACCTCTCTGGCAAACTCCGTTACCTAAAAATTTAAATCAAATTGCTCATTAAAACAAAAGTAAAAATACCATTACTTAACGCTGCCACAAATCTTTTAAACAAATTTCAACAAGAAAAACACAATAAAAACTTAAATAAAAAGGGGGTAAAGAGGCACCTGCTTTTAAAATACCAACTTATGTGTGACACTGTTTCATTTACAAACTTCTTCATAGAAATAAGAAATTAATGTTCACATTAGTTAGTTGGTAATCAAAAGCTCAGGAAATATGTCAGTGACTCTAATTATATGTACACATTTTTTTAAGGGAGTTGTTATTGTCATTCTAAAATTCTCATTTTGCACTCTAAACTTTCTATGTTTAGAAAGAAAAATACATATAAAAAAAGTGTAAAATAGAATATTTGGAATGCAAATAATTGTTCCCTTTCTTTTTTCTTCTTTTTTTTTTTTTTTTTTTTTCATGTTATGATATATTAGTCTTTTCTCAAAAGACATGGGTTTGAAATGCCTTTGTGAGTCCCAACACCCAGAAGGGTGTGCACTAGAAGGGTTGTGCCTCTGCTCAAAAGACATTCATTGTGCCCCAAGCAAAGGCTGTTTCTCTAGGCCTGGCAAAGTTTTTAACGATGGAAGGATTTGTACCCTTGTGACTACGAACCAAGCTAGCTAACTAGTTTAGGGTTACTGAAGCCCTTTGTTGGTCCCCTTTAAAAAAAAAGAAAAAAATTATAATATTTAACTTCTTAAAAAAAAAATAAAAAAAAATAAAAAAAAAAAGAAAGAAAGATGTTATTGGCATTTAAAGCAAAAAATAAAAAATTCATTCGAGTTTTATTACATTTTTTTTCTTCTTATCTTTTAGTGTATGATAATTTTTTCTTTTAGTATGCCAAATTGCCAATAATAGCTCCTTTGAAAATTAAAAACCTCTACAAATTGCAAATTCGACTTTTCAATTTTCAAAAAATACTAAAAATAAGAAAATTATTATTGACACTTCGAAAATCTTATTTTGTACTATAAACTACAATGAGATTTTAGAAGTGCTAATAACAATTCTAAAAAAATAATAGTAATACAGTATGTATGTAACAATTGAAAGAAATCAGAGAGAGAGAGAGCACAAACAATGACCTCATTATCGAGAGCAGGTGATCTGTGGCGAAGGCAGCCATAAAAACCATGTTTTACAGCGGCGCATGCGAACTTCCCCCTACTAACATTTGCGGAGCGGAGCTCAGTGAAGTTGCCTTGATCCATATTGGGGTAAGCAAGAAAGAGGTGATTACTCATAGCGAGGCCAAGGGCGGCGTCGCCGAGCACCGCGAGACGCTTATACGAGGGAAAGTAAGTGATGGAGGAGTGTGTGAGAGCTTCCTCTAGGAGCCTCTTGTTCTTGAAGTTGTGACCTACGATTTTCTCCATGGCCGTCACTGAATCTTTCATTTCCGGCGATGGCTGAAGCTCGCGATCGAGGGATGCTGAGATGGTGAAGAGTTTCATGTTGCTGAATTGGAAGATCGATCGCGGTTGACAGTGTTGAGGCAATTAAGTTAAACAACCTTAACAGTAAAAGTAAGACTTAAAAGTAAGACTAAAGAATGTTAAAAGAGAGAAAAATAGATAAGGGGTAAAACAGTGCGGCCGAGGTTGTAACGTGCGAGAATAGATGCTCTCCGGATCTCTTTAGCCAACGTCATCGAATTAAATAATTCGAATTTTTAAAATTTTATCTAACGATAAAAATTATTATAGCTTTTAAGATGTTAAAATAAGTGAACAGTTGAATGAAATTTCAAAAATCTGAATTACTTGATCCAGAGATGATCTCTCCTCGTAACGTGGGGATTGGTTGATGGTGTTGAGGCAATTAAGTAAGGAAAATGATCCTCATCAGATCTTTTTCCTGAGGATTTGGAAAAACTCGTAATCGTGTCCGTTTATTATACATTGTACAGTTGATTTTCATTAAGTAGTATTTATATTTAATTTTAAATTTTAAATAATTTCTAACTGCACGATGTACGATGAATGAATACAATTACGAGATGTTCTGAATCCTTCCCTGGATCCGGCGATGATCCTTTCTCCGTTAAGTAAAGCAACATTAACAGTAAAAGTAAGACTAAAGAATGGTAAAGAGAGAGAAAAAGAGAAAAGGGGTAAAACATTGCGGCCGAGGTTGTCATGTGGGAATTGGTTGATGAATATTGAATCATGGTAATCTATTCCCAGTTTGCGTCCAGTTTCAGTGATTCAGTGGTGTCGCAGGACCACATCTAACCAAATAGGAGATTACATTTTATGCATCAATTTATAATTTTTTTTTTTTTTTATAAGACTTATGAATCCATACAATGTTAAAATTCTATATATTTTTGTTATTGAGCTATAGAGTTACATCTCTTCATGAAACAAGGTCTTGAGTTCTATATACATTCATAGCCGTTGTTTATCAGCAATAAAGTTTATTCCCAAATTCGAGTCGTGTCTAGAAAGTATGAAACACATAAGGTTCGTCAAAGTTCTAATTGTTTGTATTAATCTTGAACCTATCTAATGTTGTGATCTTCTTTATGATTATTAATATTGGAATTCTTTTATTATTTTCATATTTTCTATTATTACTCCAACAATTCTAAAGACAAAATTTTCTTGCAATAATTAGAAAAATATGGATTTAAGGAGAGTGAGGTGGGTATTATGGTGAAGAACTATTATGCAAAGTGGAGGGAAATGGTATCGGTGCCGAGGCTGATGAGTGGCTGTATTGATCGATCTGTCTAGAATTTGAGAGAGTTTGTAATGTAGCCATGTTCTAAGATTCTAACTAAACTACCCGGAAGATCAAAAACTTAATGAAGACCGAGATCTCGATCATGCCCTAACCGAGGCGAAAAAGTTCAGTAGCATAATTCTGAACACTACAATCCTCAAATCTCTAGGTAAGATCCTTGCGCTGACTAAGAAGAACCATATCTCACCTGTAACAGTGTTAGCAGTGAAACCACCTAATTGCTGATTTCAACTCTCAAAGTGTACGGCTATGCCTAATCGAGATCTCGCTCCAATCCAATCAAAACAAGGACAAACTTTCATTTGTTTCATTTCAGTGCTTTGTGGAACCTAAACAACCCGTAAACTCCATCCAATCAAACAATCGCTTGAAGCGGGGAATAGACAGTCTGAAAACTACGACGAGCACAAATAAATGTTACAGGTTCAAATCCTAACCTAAATCTAGAGGCATGAGACACAAAATTTTCCTATAATCCATGGTTGTTCTTGCATAACTGCAACCTCTTAAGTTGCATACGGAATTGTCCTCTAACCTATGCATTCATATTTCAAATGAAGCAGGAAGCACAAGAGCCTACCACGCATATATCTCAGAACATAAAGAGAATTAGAGTTGCATCATATATAACCAGATTCTTGTAAAGCACAGATCATAGACGAAGCTGCAGAGTTGTCCGCATCTTTTATTCTCGACCTTTCATCTCCCACCATGCATAGCACACCATCCGCAGTTGCAATTTTGACCGACGATAAAAATCTCCTCTCATGTGAAGGACCTTCATCTTTCTCAATGCTGCAATTGAAAAACAAATACAAATATGCATAACTACAGAAGAGACAAATTAATTCCAATAAAAGAGAACATTTTTCTTCAAATACGTTTAGAGATCATGATAAGGGTAAAGAGATTCATACGTGTAAATTGGTTTAGGCCACTTCTTCTTGTCACAAAGCTCATGCAACTTTTGTTTTGCTTCTTCAATTTGAAACTTACCATCATTTCTGGCAATAAACTCCATCGATCTGCCACTTACACCCAACGATTTCGACAACTTAAAAAGAGCTATCTTAGCAGCATTGAGTTTGGCAATCTCCTTCTGCTCAGAAGAACCCGAGGCAACAAACACGCCATCAACATAGACACTAGCAATACTTTTGGTCTCATCTCTCCAATGCTTGATATCAACATGTTTCCCGTGCTTCTGGCAAAGCTCAAACAACACTGTAACGGGTTGCGGTTGACTTTTCACTTCTTCAAGAGTGACAATGGGCTCCAAAAGGCGCCTAAATTTCTATAAATGTACATCAGCAACAACAACAAAAATTAACAGGTTATACCCAACTTCTAAACGCTTGGAAACTTAACAAAAGCTAATCAAATACACACCATCCACAATTTTTCCAGATCAAAGTTCAAGTCAACATACATAGCTGCTGCCACAGACTCCACCATATCCGCAAGAACCTTAGGAGCTCTCACAGAACCACGATATACAAGCGGCGTCTCGTCTTCTCTAGTGACAGCTTCAGTAAACTCCCTAACCTAAAATTTAGAACAAATTGCACAGAAAGCCCCAAATTAAAACCATTCAATTAACAACCCAAATCTCTGACCAAAAAGAAGAATCAACAACCCAAATCCTTAATAAAACAAAAGAAATTATCTCGACAGTTCATTGAACTCCTTAACCTAAAATTCATAGCAAATTGCACACAAATCCTAAAGTTAAACCATTAATTGACAACAACAATCCTTTAAGAAAATTAACCCGGAAAAACAATGGGAAAAATCTTAAAAGAAAACAAAGTTAAAACCTACGAAACAGTTGAGCTTTTCCAAAACAAAAATCCAGACAACAAGAAAACACAAACAAGAACAAAAACCCAAGTAAATGTTCCTCTTTTTGTTCTTTCTTTCTTTCTTTCTTTTCACACATAATCCAGAGAGTCACAAAAAATGAAATCGATTGAGAACAAAGAGAATAATTAATTAATTAATTATAACGAACCTTATCGCGGAGAGCAGGTGCACTGTGGCGGAGGTGGCGGTAAAGGCCGTGCCGGACAGCCACACGTGCCAGCTTCTCGGTGCTGACATTGGCGGAGCGCAGCAGAGAGAGAGTGCCGGGGTCGAGCCCAGGATAAGCAAGGAAGAAGTAGTTGCTGAGGGCGAGGCTGAGAGCTGCGTCGCCGATGAATTCGAGGCGCTGGTACGACGGGGATTCGGAGTAGGAGGAGTGGGTTAGGGCTTCTTCTAGAAGCTCCTTGTTCCTGAAATCGTAGCCCACGATTTGCTCCACGGCTGCCACGGACTGCTGCATTTCCGGCGACGGCTGGACCCTACGATCCACGATGCAAATCATGATTTGCGGATGTTTTTTTGTAATTTAATTTTAATATTTATGGGTTTTATGAGGTTGGCACTTGGAAGTTGGAGACTAGTCTGACAAGTTTTGAGTTCAAAGCACCTGGTTCGTGATGGGTAGTACTTCTTTAAAGTGACCAGCTTTAACCAATGCCAAACCAACGGAAGTGGGGAAACGGGGGTTATTACCAAATTACAATTGGGATTTTATCTCAGTTGCGTTGTTGTTTAATAAATATTTGTTACATGTTTAAAAAATACGTTATTCGTTTAATAAATAATTTAAGTATGGTGGAGTAGTGACATGAAAAGAAAAAAACTCACATCATAATGCTAAATTCCAGTTATATAACAAATGTCAGGGGTTTAGAAACATAGAAATTTTAACAAAATGGACAAATAATTATGGGTAAAATGATGCAATGGAAAAATATGATTGACGGATTGAACAACTTTGAATCCGATAATATAAGTTGAAATCCAATCGGGAAATTTAGAAAAATAACCAGAATTTAGACCCAAAATAGAATTATAGCCACCCTTTTAAATTTATGATAATTATAACCAAATTGATATGAAAGTGGTAATATACTCTTAAAATAGAAATTGAGAGATAAAGAGAGTTCGAAAATAAATGTTGCAAAAATTTACTTCTTTTCCACCTCCAATTTCTTAACAACAATAGAAACCCAACAACAATGTCATAGAAAAATGATGAACAATAAATAATTTTTGCTAAAACCTCCATTAGTCAAGCGTTGGAGATTTTGAGTTTTAGGGTGAAAATTAGGCCTGTTTGAGGGACAATTTCCTTCATTCTGGTGCCCAAACATTGAGCACTCCCGACAGATGAAGCAGAGTATCATCATCAGAATCAGAGACAAAGAAAAGCAACAGAATATCAGCAAACCCTATCTCACGGTAGAGGGAGTGGAGCAAGTCTGTTGCCAGCCAGCCACTTTAGCTTCAAGTCATTGCTTTTTTGTTTCGGCCGAACAAAGCCTAGAAGGACATTTTATCCTGTCTGGCATGCCTTAACTCATCTTTAGCTCTCAATTCCGAGAGATTTTTCAATGTGATTAGAACACGAAATGGTACATCACATGTTATTATACTAATGATGAAATATATCCGCTCCCCGCCCGCGGCTGAGGTTCTCCTACTTAAGCTATCTTTTCGTAGGCGTTTGCCTCCGATGGAATCAGAGGTTCTCCACGACTTTGTCCGCGTCAACAAACACTTCAGTTCGATTCTAATCAATGGCTTATCAAAATTCAAACAAAATATGTTTACACAACAAAGGTTTACTTTATTCATAATTTTGCCACAATTCAACATCAGAGATGAACCAACTAAGAAGACCATTTATTTCTTCCGGGAACAATCAACTTCAAGCGAAGTCAATAGTTTAAACTTGGCCTCCTCAGGCCAAGTTACAGAAGAAACATTTTGTAAATTACAGAGAAAGATAAAAGAGTTTGCCAATTAGCATTGAGACAGATAAATTAAAAAGCATCCAGCCCTCTCTGATGCATTATGCAACAGACGGCAGCCCAAAGACGACACCAAATTATTTGCATTAGTTCATCATCATCTGATCAAATCCTCCTCCACCCTGAAGCGCAGGAACCCGACTAACACCAACGTTGTGAAGCAACTGCTGCAGCCATCTCCTTGTCGTTGGATCTTCCTGAAATTGTCACGAATATAATTAACTTTGAAAGTAGACCAGACAACTGCGTCCAAATAAAAGAGTAGGGGATACCGAAAAGAAACAGTAAATCAGACTCAAAAGTATATTTTTTCAAATATCTCACAAACTATGTCTGGCAACTATATGTACCCTCGAAGACGAAAGAGGTTAGTTTTTGCTTTATTTCCAGACTAGTCGTTAAGATCAATTATGAATTACACAGCACATGCATCCAGAAAAGTACTTACACGGAGGGAAACACTGAAGGTAGCATCTCTCAACATATCGGGAAGACAGCTCCTCAAAGCATCACAAGCCCTGATGATAAAAAACAAAGAACAGATCCAATCAAATGATTAACACGAGATATTGAAGAAACAAAAGTAATAATAATAAATCTACTTCATTCAATCAACCTTGGGTTTTCTGACAGTCGTAGATAACATCGGATAATATGTTTTAGCAAGCGAGATGAAGGCTGGTCAGCAAGTGATGCAACCATGGTTCCCAAGACTCGACCCACTGCGAAAAAACGCTCAGCTGTAGTACAGATATAATCCAAGCCTACATCATCCAACAAAATCTTTTGAACAATAAATGTCGCCACCTGTGATGATAACAATTTCTGTCAGGCAACCATATACCTTGCATTCAAACTCGGTCAGTAAGAGAAAAGTTTTGCAGAGATGCTATACTGAGATCTACTGAAACATATAAAGATGGGAAGAAAAAAAAGAAACAGACACTCAACTGTTTTTGACAGTTCACTACCCATTTCCATAGTTCGCAGGCACAACGGGATTATTTCAGTTGATAGAAGAAAACTAATCACTTCTGTATCATCGACCTGGTAAAAAGAAGTAAAAGGAATTAATATTCCAATTTCCAAATATATTTGTCTGGCATAAAAGTGCTATATAGGGTTTATCACAGCAACATTATTCTCCTCTTCAGGTTTCATGTGTTCACATGTGAGAGAGTGAGAAGAAGAGTTGCAAATAAAGGTGCATGTGCAGGATAATATTACAAGTGGGATTGAATACCCATGCAAATAAAGCAATGTTACAGATAAACTATTTTCTCGTCGGAGTTCACGCTACAGGACTGGAAAGGGTCCAGTTAAATCTTTCACTAAATGATGGATGTAGTAAAGCCACCTAACTCAATCAATGTTATAAAATAAATAAATAAAAACTAAGCGTTCTTTTTATCCCACGTTAGATTCTCCTAGTCCTTTCATTTCTCATATCAGCTACACAAGCAAGATTGGAAAGAGTGGTTTTAGTCAAGGCATGCATCAAGTTTTCATATTTAAACTCTTTTACATATCATTTCTCAAAGCATGTGGCCATGTACCTATCCAGTTATACTTGTATATCAACTGGTTATTTACTTTTGTTCATTTTATCACACATACAAATAAAAAGACAAATATACCTATCAGTTTGCCAAATAAGAATAACATACCTTCACTAAGGCACCAATGACTCCTAAGCTGGTGAGTCTCAAGTACTCGAAAGGCCTTGACTTGCTTGTTGTATTAAGGAAAGGGTACAAATATAAAGGTATATGAGCTGCCAACCACAGGAGAAATGAAAAAATCGTTGGTTAAATATTATACATAAACATCTAACAGAAGCTGCATGAAAAAAATCATGCTTCTGTGTACAAGCACGCTAGAAAGAACATTTCAAGCTTTAACTGTAAACAAGATAAAAGTTATTACCGTTAAGGAACAACATCCTGGTGTCTGGGTGTGATGCCACACACTACAAGAAGATACAAAAGGAATATGAAGCATACAATAATAATGAGATGTGTAAAATATAGGCCAAGCCTCTTGTATATGGAAGATAACTGTAGTTTAGAACAAAAATAACGTGCATCGATAAAGATTACATATATAATTTAAAAGGCGACAAGAATGGACCTGAAGAAGCGCTAGAGCATTGCAAACTCGATTTGATTGGGCTGGAGTTAAATTTGGTGGGGACAGAACAGGGTATATTGAAACTATCTCCTGCACAAAGGATAAAGAGTAGAGTGAGAATCCATCATCAGGGATTACGACAAAAGAGTGTCTGGTAATGTTGATTTATCAAACAAGAAGTCAAATGATGGTACGTCAACGATGCACGGACATATGTATAACACAAGTCCTACTCCTACATACAGAAAGAAACTTGCTACCCTTGTCCATGAACGAATTTACAAAACAAGCGAACAAAAACCACAAAAAAAAAGGAAGTGCAATAAGAATGACATGAATATAAAACCAAAAAATTACATACCTGTAACAGAGCAGCTATAGTACCGAAAGAATTCCACAACAATGGAGCCAAATCTTGAAATAATTCTCTCTTCTGAGAAGGGGTACAGGAAAGGAAACAGGGGGTTAACTAGTAGTATGTGTATATGTACATATATAGTACCAAAGGGATTCAACATTAAGAAGACAAATCTTAATAATGAAAATAAAAACCATGAAAGGCAAACCAAGTACACTTTCAGCACAAAAATTTTAGCAGTAAGAACTAAGAACTTATTTCCAGTGAAGAATACATGAGCATAGCTCACACAGGGGTGGCAAATTTATCGTTGTATCGCAGTTATAGTCATACCCATTTTTTCTTTTCTTATACCTTTGAAAATAAAAGAGAAAATTAGGTCAAAATAGTATTTGGTAAGTGCTTGAAAACACCGTCAGGCTCTTATGGATAGAACCAACTTCTTTCCAGATCTGATATGCAACTGTTACTAATGTAGCCAATGAAAACTTCAAACTAATAAAGCAAATTAAGAAATTATGCAGCCTATTTAGTATGTTATAATGGCATTTATATCACTTTCATTCCCATACCACCGATAAAGTTAGAGCACCCAACCAAGGACCAATTGACAATGAGTGGAGAAGCACAAGATCGTAAATATATTCCTATGTGAGACTTCACATTCCAATTGTGTAAACACACTCAACGCTACCATCATGTGTAATGTAGAGTAACTTGAGCTAAACACATGGAGCTAAGCGCGTGGACAACACATACATGGGATGACATGAGGCACGTGTAGCCGTAGGGGCTTGACACATAGATTGTGTGCTTGGATACGTGATGTAAAATTATGTGCATGGCTTTGCAGTCCCGACGTAAAGATTTATACTCTAAACAACGACTACACCATTCTAAACCCAGACACACAAAACAGATTGAGCCACCCACCTTCTCCATAACCAATAACTGAAAAGGTTCAAAACTCCATCTAAAACAAAAATTGATTACACATAATCGATACAGACATACCGGAAACATAAACAAATGCATCAAGATCCAATTTTGATCCTACCCTAGGAACAACTATAGTAAGGTGGCTACCACATGCATGCTGTGACTACAAAGATGCTAATTTGAAGTCTCAACTCTGACAAGAAAAAAAGAACAAGCATCCCCGCTTCTCACAAAACACATATCACGCAAAAATAATCATCTCATTACCCCAATTGCCTTGATTTTCTCAGCAAACAAACAGAATCACAGGACAACGAAATGATGCTAAAACAAAACAAAACTCAATAGAACCCAAATCACAAACCCTAAACCCAAACTTCAAACTTTATCATAAAATCTTCAACCCCATAAACCCTATAACAAAAATTAAACAGAAACCCAACATGCTAAAAGGGATTAATCAAACACAGCGGAACTAAATTATTCAGAAATAATGAGAGCAAAAAGATTAGACCTTGGAGAGTTCAAGGAGCGCGTTTTCACGAAGTTGGGGGTTGCTGAGTTCGAGCACCAACTGCTCCGCCGACGCCATGTTCGGGTCCCTGTTCGGCTGGGCTCCGGCAGCACTGGGGTTAGAACCGATCGGGCCTCCAAACGGTGCGCTCATCTCCACAAACTAGCAGAGACTCGCCATTTCACAGCAGGAAGTTGTCAAAGCTCTCAGCTTTTGCCATTGCTTTCTCACAGTTCGCTCTCAGCTATCCGTATAGAGAGAGGGGAGAGAGAGAGCGTGTGTGTGAAGAAGACAAGTACAATTTCGGGAGGAGGAGTTGGTTTTATATTTGAAGACACGTACTGGACATGCGCGTGGGAATCGCCCCCGATGTTGACACCTCACTTTGGATTGAACTGATATAGTAGTACGGTTGAAAGGGAAAGTGTGTCTACGCGCCACTCTGTCGCATGGATGCGGTTTTAAATGCTTCCGAGCAACTTATCCGAAAGAATTAAATTCGATACAACTTTTTAATAAATTTGGATTCACTATTAATTCTGTAACTTTTATATATAAAATGAAATAATATTTGATAAAACAACTCGAATTCCATGTGATAACAAATTGGGATTTACATTTAATTATGGGAGCTTGTATACAAAATCACATGATATCTTGTTACGATAAAGCACGATTAGAATTGCTTAACGAACTTGGATTCATCTTTAATTGAATGACTCGTGTACAATTCGCTAGCTGGTTACAATAGAGAACGATTAAATTTGACATTGAGAGAATCCAACACGGATACCTAAAGGGTGACAAAATCGTTATATGAAAATGATGTGTAAAAGGTACAAATAAATCAAAACTAAAATTTAAAATTAAATTAAACTAAGAGTGCTAAGTGTGGACATGAACCTTATTACAACACATGCAGTGTCGGGAGCATAGATAAAACTGCAGCATAATTAAAGAACATTCTCATCCTGGATAGGAGGATACTTATACAAAACAAGGAAGAATAACTTACTACATTATCAAAAGTCGATGTTAGCAAATGTCAGTAATCCTCAACTCCACCAAAGTACTTCCACTATGTCAATCATTAAACTAGTCAACTCAAATAACTAAGGAAAAATACTCAAATATTCCCTCTGTTTGCTCGTTTCAGGAGTTAATAGTGTTTGAAAGGGACTCACATGTCGTCATGTGCTGACAGTGAACTAGTTCGTCGATGTTGACCAGAATTTCCCAGATTTATTATTGTCACCGGCAAAATATTTCGTCGACATCAAAGGACATTCAGGAAAACCAAAATACCAAACACTTTTTCATTTACTGCCCTTCTTTTACAAGATACCACCCTTCAATTCTAACCACTATTAACTAAGTATTACTATTAATATCATTGTAAATCTGTCACCATAAGATGATGTCATCTGACATCCTAACAAATTCATTCAATCCGACAGTTGAAAATCGATGTGTGAATAGCACCGCCATGTTCTTAAATGTTAACCTGTTAATTGTTATGTACTCCTGAAATTCTTGTTCTGAAAGAAATACTCAGATTATGAAGGAATATGCTTCTCTCAAGTCTTAACTACCAAATTTCAACACACAACGGCCGCTCGTCGGCATTTCCCCATCTAGAATTGACGTCCAGCCTAATTTATATATGTTGCATACTCTTCAAATTTTACCTCACACAAAAGGTACTCTCCCCCTTGAGGAGGTAGGGTGAGAAATAGTTCAGCTTGAACCCTCTTTGCTGAATATCGTAATTCCCGTCATCCAGAAGTTCAGCTTGAACCCTCTTTGCTGGACACAATGCATCGCTTCCTTGAGTTTACTTTTGGGAGAAATAAGACCAGCAGCCTCGAATCTCCAAAAGAAAGAACCACGATAACGTGGAGGATATACCAATGCAAAGCCTTTCTTCTTGAATGCTTAAACTTCTTGTTAAACTGTGAGTCTCCCCATCAATGTCACTAGTGAAGGTGGTGAACAGCCATACATACTTTAACTTGATGGCCGGTAGGTAGTAGGTGCTAGCTTTCGTTCTTCAAAGTCAGCTTGCAATTTGCTTTCTGAGTGCAATACTCTTTATATTCTCAAGATCCGGCTTAGTTTGTAAACCTGAACACAAGAAATTTAACCTAATAAATATGAAAGTTGAAATGTAATCTAGTTTAACAACTACTTAATACATCACAAATTGAAAAAGGGGTTCTTAAGAATAGTAGCACCAACCCCTAGGCATCCAAAGCACGGAAAACTAACAGCCACAAAATAAAATACTAACAAAAACAACGTGCAGAAAATTTGACGAACCTGGGCAGTCCTACTAGGCAGAGGCACTTCTAAGCAGTTTCGGAGGCCATCGACTCTGCAAAGGCCAAGCACAGTGGTGACAGAACAACATCAATCATTGAATCAAAGAAAGTAACCAAAACTGAACTTAAAAACGCGCACGCACAAACGGGTAAAATAGAGAAGACAAGAGATATTGAAAAGGTAGTCAGTACTTACCTTTTGCTAATAGTTTTCCTAGAATATTGATCATCCTTTATAAGTCCCTGACCTCCGTACTTTATTTCATCCGTATTTAGCACGAGCTGTGGTCAGAAAAGTAACAGGTTCATTAACTTGAAGCTCTACAGTTAGACAAATACATACAATTGCTTGACAAATACATATAACTGCTTGACATACACAGAAACATATACAAAAGATATATACATATAAAATCTCCAATATAAACTAGACTACTTAGTTCTTCAGTTTATGACCCTGAATCCATGTATTCATGCCAGCACACATATAATAAAAGAACACAATGCAAATTATGAGTTAGAAACCATATCTCTGACTTAAACTACTCAAACCTGTTTGATAAAACTTACTTGATACTCTCCAGCCTCTTCTACACCTATTCCGTATCCTTCATAAGAATCTGTTGGGTGAAAGTTGAATACGAATAGAAGGGTGCCTCTCAGGTAAGCTATTACCTGTAAATAGCAAAGAAATATCATAATCAGTAGAAGGCATAATATTCTTTCCAAATGCATTATTGAGTTTAGTTTCACCCGTACCATGGTATTGTCATTCACATGGTGAATGCTCGGTAAAACTCTCGCAAGTACTCTTTCAGTTTCATCCAACTTCATCAAGTCCTAGGAAAGAAGAAAGATAAAAATTACTTTGCTACCATGATCATCTCAAGGGATGTTTTAATCTCTCAAGAACAACGACCGATTAATACTTCGCAACTTCAAGTTGAATATGTTAATGGTAAGGCGAAGAGCGAAATTAGAGAAACTGCATTTATGGGGGACTTTTTAAGTTATTAGAAATCTATACTAAACAGCTTTCAGCACTATTAACAACAGTAGATATAACAGAGAGCCACAAGATCACAACATGTAAGCATGTCAGGGCAACAAGATGGCAACAAAAAGTTAATAGTTGATACCTTATCAAAGATAAACAAGTTCCGATGCAATCCTTCCTTGGCAAGAAGATCCCACCTACGGTTGGCACGAGCAAACGAGAAATTGTTGCTTGACATGGGGAACTCAACACACTGAAACATGAGAAAGATCATTAGTCACGTCTCACGTGAAATAAACTTCTTGTACTTGCAGAAGCCAGTAACGTCACCTCTGGATGCCCAAATTCATTGCCCATGAAGTTGAGATAAGCACGGCCACTGATTGTCAAAGTAATTAACCTGATCATCTGGCTCAAGACCGAAATGTAAGTATAAATAAACAGACCAAACAGAAACATGAAATGAAAATAACAGCTTACAGAAGCAACACATTACATGTTGCAGTCATTGCAAGTGTTTCACTAAACTGCAACTGCAATTACATGGAGATACACATTATGCATATATCAGAAGCAATGCATGTGTGGGATCATGTATGTATATAAAGCAGTACATAAAACTCTGTACTTAGACTTTGATTATGACAAAGATGTATTTACACTATCTGGTACATAGCATACCTTGTGCAAGGAACAACCTCTGAGCAGTAATTTATCCGTGTCTTCAGAACCATCCTTGATTTCACCAAACAATATCTCCGCAAATGACCGCCCTCCAGATATTGACTGATATGCAAGATTGTTATAATATGATTTAGCAAAAATCAAACACAAATAAATTAGAACAAGATACGGAATTTATGAGTAAGGTATGTCAATAGAGTTTTTGACGAGCAAGAGATTAATACCTGGTTGTGATTTTCAGCATACACAAGCATTTTATCAGCATAGTTTCTGTTGCCAATTAATGTGCTGACAATCTACAGTGTGGGTTAACGTCATTTAGTTTTCACTTTGTGGGATGGAAAAACAATCAGTGAATTAACAAGAAAACAGCACGATCCCACTCGATTCTGAGACAATGTGTCACAATTAAATGGTTCAACCTTAGTCATGCTCCAATCATGGTCCGGAACATTCTCAAGGAAATTTGACCACGTCTCTGATACAGAGAGATTGACACAATAATCAAACCCCAACCCGCCTTGAGAGATGGGTTCACATAGCCCAGGATAGAAGGTTGCCTGGAAAATAAATAAAATATCACTCTTTAGAAGCCACAAAATACAGTGCATATCACTGAATAAATTCGACGAGAATATTATGTTTTTTGCCACCATTTTCAATGATGTTAATAAATCTGATCTTCTACTTGAAAACAAAGTTAGAACAGAATCAGTGGAGCTAACAACCCAATATGATCTGAACTCTTGAGCCCACTAGCAGCAACTATATGCTAATTTTCAAGAGCGTTCTATGAGAAAAATGTTACGTGAGTTTCTCTTGAAGGAGTTCTCATACTGTAAAGTGTAAACAACGATTTCAATATCAATTTCTTACATCTTCGGCAATTGTTATTATATTCGGATGGAGAACATGAAGTATCTCATTTGCCAAAATGAGGTATAGCAATGCGTCCTTGTCTACATATTGATTACAGTACCTGCCAAAGTATGAAGATTGAGTTTCAAGTTCATAGCTAGCATTCAATCATAAGAATAGTAGGAAGTTGAGTATGAAATAGCATATTATGCTCACATAACACAAGAATTTATATTTACTAGTTATGTTTTGTAAAACTTCATTTATTCTGCTTAGTGAATGTAATTCAACCACCCATATATTAACAGAAGCAGTTGAAATCTCTTCTTATATAAACCATAAAGCATAGATACACACACACACACACACACACACATACGTACACATATATATACAATTATGATAATACAATACTGCACGCCAAATCCCATAAACCGCGCACACACACACACACGTACACTTATATATACAATTATGATAATACAATACTGCAAGCCAAATCCAGCTTGTTATACTTTAGTCATGTAAATATTGTTGAAATTCACTAGCAACAGCATAAGGATATAAGCCACATCTTGGAATGTTAAGATGCCTTTGTTTAAGGCCCAGAAAATTTGACAGTTCTTGTATCAGTGTAAATAATAACACAGTAAGAAATTGTAGACGGTTCAATAAATGCCTTACTCCTCCAAGTCACCGGTAAAAGAAGCAAAACCATTGTGTGTGTACATCATCGATGAGAGTGAATGGAAATTAAAACCATCAATTTGGTACTCTGTGGCCCACCTGTAGAAAATTGCAATTATTGAGATACTATGCTCAAACCCAAAGAAAAACAGAAAAAAACTTCCCAAAACAAAAAGAATAGGATAATGTGGTATTAGAACACGGAACTAGGTGGTAAAATGATGATTGGTCCAAAGAAGCAACTCTACTAATGTTTTAAAACTTCGAACCATTCTATGAGCTTCACATTTACCAGTTCAAATTTGAGAGAAGAAAATGCAGGACATCCAGATCGCCATATTTAAACATTCGGGTACCCCAGTACTTGTGTTGTCCCCGTTTACCTGTAAAAGAAAATAGTATATCATGGAACAAGATATATGAAATGAGAACAAAGGCCAATGCTGTCAAAGAGAATAAGCTTTTGGGTGGGATATTCTTTAGTACTTAAACAATTACATAGCCCGGTTTTGGCTGGTTTCTCTCCATACCTCATTTATCACCGCAAATCTAACTTCTATTGGCTGTTAGAGCATTTGGAACCCGCTTCATTCAAGGTTTTCTTTTCGGCCTCATAATCAAAGCAGGAGGGTTATCTGCCTATTCTAACACTTCTTGGCCAATCAGTCTTTTAGGTTTGACAACTAGCTCCATAATTTATTACTTTAAAAAAAACGTATGAATCCATCCCACATCTCAGGTATGGTCACAAGACAAATGTCCATTGGTCCTTCAAGCATTTAGGTTCTCTTCTCCCATAACAGTCAAAACCAACCCAATCAGTATTGTGTTGGACTGGCTCGGTTTTTTCTCATTTCAAGTAGTGCCGGTTAGTAATCATAATATATCTCCGGTTCAATGTAAATTGGGCACCAGATATGACACGCTTAGTCCTAGTGAGACCTATCATACTGTCAATTACAAGCACAAGTAGTATAAACACACACATACCTGTGTGGAAGTAGCAGTCATTTGTTCCGTCAAATAGTGACAATCCAACCATCTCATCTGCAGCTGAGTAGGAATGTACTATGTCTAAAAAAACCAGCAGTCCTAGTCCTGTAAATAAAGAAGGTAGGTTACAGTTTGTAAGCGTTAATTGTTAAATAAAAAATATGGTGGAAAAACATGTTGAAGAGACATGTTATTGACGCCAAAATAGTCAAGAAATAGCATTCCTTTTCATGAACATTATCAGTAAGAAGCATGCAATGAAAATACTTGTTATCTATTCCTACTCTGTCTAAAAAAACCAGCAGTCCTAGTCCTGTAAATAAAGAAGGTAGGTTACAGTTTGTAAGCGTTAATTGTTATATAAAAAATATGGTGGAAAAACATGTTATTGACGCCAAAATAGTCAAGAAATAGAATTCCTTTTCATGAACATTATCAGTAAGAAGCATGCAATGAAAATATTTGTTATCTACAGAGGCTAATGCCATTGACAGCCTATGGTGTCATTTTGTTCTACCAATGATTTTCCTTTCCTAAAAAGTTCAACAATAAAAGCGCTGATAGACAACTCTATGCTACACACGTCATTGATATAAATCCTTTGGAATTTACAAACAAGATGCAATCACCATACAAACCTAAGCTGTTACCTTTACATTTTGTAATCCGAAATTTTAGAAGCCAAGCTCAATATGTCACATAATAACAAAATAATAATAATAATAGTAACGTTTAAGCAATTAAAATAGCTTTTGCATAAGCTGAACAAGCCAAGCAGGAATGACAACTAGTAAAGCATACATAAATCTTGAAGGTTACAAGTTAATGAAATGAATGGAATTAGATGAATGATAGTGATAACCATGTGCTTCATCAACCAACCGCTTGAAATCATCAGGAGTTCCATATCGGCTGCTAACAGCATATAAATTCGTGACCTGAAATCCATAAAAGTGTTTGATCAGTTTGTTGAACAGCCATGTAAATCAAGGATCAAGATCAAAGGAATTTTTTGAACAAATGCCTCTTTTGGTTGACATCATAATGATATGGATGTAACCAATGTAACCAACCCATTACAAGTCAGAAGTAATCAATCTCTAATCCGAGAACATAATGAGAAAGGATGGCTGACTCACTCTATATCCAACAGTAAAATAATCTTTGTGCTCAATAACTCCCATCAGTTGGATCGTATTATACCCAGCCTCCTTTACATGAGGAAGGACCTGCAATAAACATAACGAGTGAAAAATGAGGAATTTGACTGCCCATAAAAGATATAGCAGATTCAAATTAAAAATGAAAAATGCAGGAGTTACCTTCTCTGTGAAATCATTGAAAGAAGTCATTTTTGGCTCTGATCCACTTATGCCAACATGGCATTCATAAATGCGCAAAGACTTTGGCACTTTTGGGCGTGAATTTTTCCATTTGTATGCATACTCTGGCGGTGGTTCCCAGTGTATTGCAAAAGCTTGCTCTCCTTCTGCCTCTGAAGGTAATCAAAAGAGCGCTTTGATAAGAAATCAATAAAGTACAGGAAACATAACATTCCTATATCTCTTAAAATAAATAATATGCCTGTATAAATTACGAAACAATGCACATAATATAAAAAGGTTTATAAGATATCACCAAAAATATAATAACCTGTCATTGCCTATAAGAAACTCCTAAAGAAACCAAGAGGATGCTAGAGAGGGAGACAATGAGAGACACACACACATGAAATTTATCCGGTTACAAGCAGGAAGAATAATCTACATAAGCCCCGATTGCGCAAAACATGGCGGTAAGTGGAAAATCTATTAACCTGATGCCAATTCTAATCTGAAATCAAACCTCTTGTGAAAGTAAAATAGACATTAATCCTACATAAGGATCTTCAACAAAAGCATAGTGTTGGATGAACAAATTACACTTAGCAAAAGAAAAGAAAATTTACCTGGTTGCACATAAGTAGCCCAAGCAGGCACTCGTTCCAATGGCCCACTAGGAGTGTTAAAATAGACCCTGTACTTGCTCCCATGAGGAATGCATGGACTGTACTTTTTCAACCATGCCTTCCTTCCTTTGCGTGTCTCAAACCAATATGCCAAGGGAGGCTTCTTTCCTCGAAATTTTTCTTGCGACACAGGATCAAGCACGACGTTGAAAATGTCGTACTCTTTTCCATTGTCAATCACATCATAACAAGGTGCGTTACTAGGTATATCATCTTTATGCTGTTCTTTCCAAGATTTATATCTAGTTTCTGCATCTGGTATTTCTTCAAGTTCCTCTAATGTTTGAGGACCATTAGGCCCAAAAATCTGCTCATATAACTTTGCTGGCATTTCAAAACGGTTCTTTATAAACCGGTCTTCTCCAGGTTCCCAATACTCATCATTTGCTTTCTTAAAGAGTTCCTCAATGGTAACACCACTGTCACCTTTATCATAGTCATCGATGTAGTTATACTGTTGAAAATAGAGCTCATCTGGTTTTTCTTCATCCCTCAACTTATCTTCAAGAATGATGAACCAGTATCCATAGTCATCGTGGCCAAAATGACCCTCTCTTGCACAGTTCTCAGTAGGGGACCACCCGTTGAAATCACCAACCAGTGCACAGTAGCGAGCACCTGTATTTGACAAGCTTATCATACACATATCATCTGGCAGATGGAAAGTCCAGACAACATTATAGTTCAGGCCACAGAAGCAAGTTTTTATCAAGGTCGCGAACAATTGGTGACTAGTCATCAATTATAATTTACAAAAGAAAGAGGGTTTAGGCTTTTATTGAACCTGGAGCCCACTCCATATAGTCCTCTCTGTGTTCCGGGTGTCGATGCATACCCAATATCTCAAACCTAGAGGAAGAAAATGGCAATTACACCCTGAACCATAAACCTCAACCACCAAAGGGTCAACCAAATGAATCTCTCTTTTGGTTTCAAATTCCATACTTGATAAAATGAGGTTATAAGTTATAGCATCCTCAACTGTAAAACTCAAACATACCTGAATTAACCATCTAAGCGCATTTGAATGCAAATCCTCTTTAGTTAAAAGAATGAGGTTTCCATTAAAAAAATCAGACCACTAAATTAAGAGGATGAAGTTTAACTTAATCAATGCAGGCATTGAAAAACAAGTAAAATTGAACTGAAGTGAATGGAAGTTAAGTTTGGAACAAACCCAGAAGCCAAATCCCGGAGATTGGCGTGACGATTGAAAATTTCATCAGTGAGGTCCTTCACGGATTTGTGTCTGCAAATTCAAACCAAAATTACAAGTAATTATTTAAAAACCCAATGGAATTAAAAATTCTAATTTTAGCCTACTGCAGTTCTTCCAAAGTTGAACCAAGCACAGGTTATTAACAAGTTAACATCTCTACACTTCAAAGTTCAAATTTTTTCTACTTTCCCCATTGTTTTGGCCAATCAACTGATATGAACATACCTTTCACGGAGGAACTGAGCAAATTGCTTATGGGAAATGCCATGTTTGGTAAGGAAGCCAACTGGGTCGACCCCTTTCTCACCGTCAGCGACGCTTTTCTTCTTCTTCGGCGGTTTTTGTCGTCGCTTCGGCGGCTCTGTGGCTGAGCACGCTATCGGTGTTTTCGTGGGGACGGTGATTCTTTGAGGTCTGTTTGGGAACTTAAATTGGAGAAATGTGCCATTTGGGTAGAGAGAAAACTTGGTTGAAAGCGATAGGGAAGTCATGGAGAGGAGTGCTGCTGCTGCACGGAGAGAGGGGTTTTGGGTTTTGGGATAAGAAGGCGGGTACTGTGATTTGTCGTGCGAGAGGACCGAGGAGTGCTCCGAAGAAAGAACTCGAGGAAGTATTTGAAAATTTTGAGTTCATGGGCCGGGCTAGATGAGCCGGCTCATATACAATCATTTCTCACAGTGAGACCATCTCCATTAATTTAAATGAGCCGGCCCATATAAAATAATTGTTCATATTTCCGCACGACGCTTGCGAGCAAGAGATATCTACTGGTAGAGCTCGAGTGTACGTTTCTCTCACAGGTATAGTAGTAATCAGATTCGATAATTTAATAAGCTTTAGCTTTCTGCACGGTTACTTCAGGAGCAAGTTACAGGTATAGAAGGACGAGAAAAAAAATAGATTGGATTCTTTAAACTTCAGAATTATATCAATTCATGAACATAAAAGTTTGAATGATGTCTTACTTCAGCACGAGAGATCCTCTTTTCATGATTGGAACAGTTCGCAAGAGCGAGTCAAAGAGCTATAGAATCCTCATAGAAAAGTACTTCCATTTGTAATGCTTCAGGTATAAGCCCTTGAATAAAGATCATGATGGAGGTTTATTTCGCTCTATCCTTACTATTAGTAGCTTCAATGGTTTCACATCTTTTCGTAGTCAAGTAGAGCTTTACAACTTGTACTCATATAAAGTAGTTTTTGTTTGAAACTCAATGAAACTAAACTTGTTACAGTTTGACAATTCGCAAATGGAGGGAGCAAGATTGTGATTGGTGCTATAGGAGACTCGTATAAAGTTAGAACATTCAGTTTCTAAGACATGGTTTGGTTTAAACGGATTAATCATGGAGAACTTTAGGTCTCAACATGAGTGATGCGTGTTAGGAAACTTCCAGCAAGTAATAAAAGAAAATGGAAAGAACGAGCTCAATCAAGATTGAGACGGAACTTGAGAGGGAAAGGGAGAGGGAGAGGGAGAGGGGGAGGGAAAGGGAGAACGAGCTCAATCAAGATTATATCTCTTATCTTGATATAATCTCAATAATTATTTGGATAGGTATATAGGATGTGAGAAATGAATTAGGTATTTAGAGAAAAAAAAATTAAATTTCTTAAATTTTCGTCTTAAAAAAAAATGCTACGTAACATCAGCTAGCAGCACAGTTGGGTCCCCAAGTTTTTTTGGCCCAGATCTCTATTGGAGATGAGTTTTTTGTCAAAACTGGCTATCATTTGGCTTATGGCCCTTTGACCGGCCTAGTTGGAGGTGGCCTTAAAGGGGGGGGGCTACATTTTGGCCAGATTGATGGCCTTTTGGCCAAATAATAACCTGGTGGACTCCATAGAATTATAGCATAGTTATCGGTTGGAGATGAGTTTTTTAACAAATCAGGCCATTTTTTTGCTTTTAGACCTTTAGGCTGAGCACAAATCTCGGTAAGAATCAATTTTCCCATATATATATATATATATATGAGTTTTAATCTATCACCATGATTTCTAATTTGTGTTCTTATGTACATGTGTTTAAACTCTCAACTCCATGTTTGCTTTCTAGTTTGACCTGATAAGAGGATCGATTAAGTTTTTCTTTAAGATGAATATAATTATGGATTCTGTATGTATGCACCTACAGATTTCCAAATTTATTGGCTAAGTCTGACATCTTTTTAACTATTTTCCCTTGCTTAGATCAACTCCAATGGTGGGCTAAAAATCAAATTACCCCCCAAAATTTCCCCCTAAACGTACTCCAACCCAAGGGGAAAATTTGGGCTAAATGCTAAATCAAGGCCAAATTCCCCCCAAAATTTAGCCCAAAAATCGGAGTGGACTCCACCAAATATTTATCGGAATTTAAATTTTTTTAGATTAAAATGTTCATAAAATTAATTTACAATAGTCTACCTATTTATTTATTTTTAAAAAAAAAATTTAATTTAACAAAAAAAAAGAGTCTAAGTTCATTCTTTAATAATCCCGGGCTAAAATTTTAGGATAGAACGGTTGGAGCAGAAAAATTGTTTCTGGGCTAAAAGCTAAATTTTTCGAGCTAAAATATTTGGCTTTTAGCCCAACCATTGGAGATGGTTTTAAGCTAGTCTGACAAGCTTATGAGTAAACTTACCAATCACCAGATACACCTACAGTCTTTGGTTCTTTTATGTTATTGTATGTACTTACTAATTGACATGTCAGAATTTGTATTTGTGTAGTTTATTGTGCATTTTTTTTTATAATTTGGCCGCAAAGTCCATCCCACTCTAACATTGCTATCACGTGAAGTGACTTTGAGGAGAATTTATTGATAAATAAGAAAAATACAATATATCAAGGGGGACATGAAGCCAAACCCGAACCATTAAATAATTCATAACAAAAATTCAAAACCTCTTTCAGCAAAACCTATAACAAGATTGTTATAGGTACCAAGATTGTTTTACCATAAAATTATATATGTACACACACATACACACACGGTGCACTCATAGTCCGGTCGCCTTTGCATATGAATATTATAAACAAAAGGGTTTCGAGTTAAAAACTTCGTTAATCCTTACAATAATTTTATTCTTAGCTTAAGAAAATAAGTGTGAGTTTATTTATCTAGTTACTCCAAAACCAAACCAGAGCATCTATATGTACATCTACTACATAAAGTATTATCAAGTATATGTACTTAGTTTGGTAACCGGTGGTATTTGTAAATAGGACTTTGCAAGCTGAATTGGCAGTTTGGTTACTGTGTCGCGTGGAGCTATGCTTTGGAATTGCGGTAGGGGGTTTTGGGAAACCTACTTCTTATTATCAGTATTAATACTGCATTTGCATATTGTTTGATATATTATTGGGATATGAATGTTGGTTCTAAATGCGAACTAGCTAGATCTTAGGGTTGTTTTCTGAATGATTAATTGATTATGCTTGTTTGTTATGTAAGGAATGGAATGGAAATTCATGTGAATTACTTACATGTTGGAAATGGTTGGATTCTTAAGAAAGAAGTATGGAGATTATAGTAGTGGTTAGGATCTTTTGTGCAGTTGAGCCTGACACTTGGTAGGTATCAGGTCTCAGGTCAGCCCAAAGTGCACATGATATTTATCGGGTAAGTCAAGACTGAAAGCAAAGAGTCAGGCAAAACTACTAACAAAAGAGGGATTTTGGGAAGAGAGTATTTAGTATAGTTGAGCTTCCACATCACTGCATAGTGGTAAAATGCATGGTATGAGCCATGCAGGTCTAGTTGTTTAATGATACGAATTAACAAGAATGGAGAAGACGTTTTACATTGCATTCACGCATATCATTTCATATGTGTATTTAATCACTTCTTTGATATTAAGGTATAGGTTCATACTTAGCTTTTTAAGCTTACATTAACTAAATTTTGCATGTTTATGAACTAGTCAATCAAAAAGGTCAGGCGAATTGAGGTTGAAAAAAGAAGCCCAGTTTTGGAATTTTATATTTATCCGTTTTAGGTTTTATTTATTTATAAAATTTTAGCTCCGTTTTGGATTCGGGATTTTTCACGGACTTCGGGTCTGGGACATGACATTCTCACACGTAGGTTGGACTGCAGGTGCATTAAGAGAAAACAAGTGGGCTGGCAAAGGCCAAAACGTGATGGGAAGCCAAAACTAGGCTTCTTTTTTTTTTTTTTTTTTTTTTCTGTATCGGACCTGGCCCAGAAAACAAAAAGGCCCAACTAGAAAAAGGTCTCAAGCCCTAGAGATAGTGGGCTGAGCACAAGGGTGGCTGAAAGGACCACGGGTCTGGTTAAGAATACCCTAGCATTGTTGGGTATGTCGCCGTCGAGGGAACCAATGCACGGCACTACTGCCGGCGGTGATTTCCGATCAAAATTGATAGGGGTTTCACTGCGAAGGTGTTCCAAACTTTTGAGGAGTGAGAAATCTCAAGGGTTTCTCGTCGGGGAAAACGATGTGGGCTCGGGGGACGACTTCCAATCGTCAGATTTAGCCACGGGACGAGTGTAGGTCATCGAGGGAGGTTGATTTCACCGTATTCTATTGAAAGACACCGGCAGTGTGGGCTGAAGGCCACCTAGATGGTAGCCCAATCGCAAGAAGGAAGATGTATCAAACGATGTTGCTTTTGCATATTAAGAGGCAATGATATATAATCATAAGATTTATAAGGTGAGCGATATCGACTCAATTGTCAACATCAATTTTCTTCTAACATATCACCTCCAACACCGAAAAACCTAAAATAAAAACAGAAGAGTTGCTCAGCGAGCACACAACAATCAAGGCATGTGGATGAACTGCAAAGTCCAACCAAAGTGGAAAATGGAATTAAGCGGGGAAACATAATTAGTTAACAAGGCATGTTCATGAGTGTTTCAATAATAGGCTTTGAATTGTTCTATTGTGAGCCTGGTTCTGTGCCCAAGGAGCCTTGAGGTTGTGAACCAGATTGACTTGTTTGCCCTGCAGATTGTCGTTTCCTTTTAGACTTTGCAAGCATGAACCTACTCCAAGTAAAAATCTCCAAACCAATCGCAACCAAAGCAAACATTCCAAGGACTCCGATGTAAACCCACAGCCAGGTTTTATTCGGCTTCAAAATCGCAATGCCATGGAATATGTTCACTGAGATCACAGCCAGCAGTGAGTACCCTAGAAAATGATGGTACATGTCCCAATATTTCCGGTAGTCATCAGTTGCCGATGGCCTTAAACGCAGGGCAAGCATCTGCAATGCATAAAACAATGTCACTCGTCTATAAGAGCACCACTAAATTGCAGGGTATGCCGAAAATATTTGTAGAGGAACTTTTCTTGTCTTGTGGGATGGAACAACGTAAAAAGATGACATGAGTAAAAAAATTAAGAAAATTTGTCACTAATTTCGGACAAATGTCATCTTTTAACTGAACTGTTATGTCACTCAGCATTATCACGTGATCCGAATAGGCTTACATATTATTTGTTTTGATACTTTTGATATAAAATGTTAGACTAAAAGCAAAATATTCGTAAGGGAAATGTTCTTGTCTTATTGCAATGTTCATCCCTGGCGGAACGACATCTAAACTTCGAACACATGTTATATTTGAGATGTTTTGTCACTTTTGAACATTTTTACACATGTTTTTTTTTTTAAATACATCGGATATGATATGTTCAGACTTGAAACAAGTACATGAGACTCATCATATAAATGGAAGATAGGGAGAGAGATGAATGTTATTTACTTGTAATGTGGTGAAGGCAAATATGCAAATGGCGAGAATTCGATGAGTGGAGAAGCTGTAGTGTCTAGAAGCATGGCCGAGCCAGAGTCCGATCGCCCAACCAGCCGTGCCAAGAATGTAACCAACAATCTGGCAGGAGACATGAACCATGTACCACTTTTCACAGGGAATAGGGCATTTTCTGAAGTACCTTGCTATGATCACTCCCAATGGCAACATTGTTCCCCACCCCACAATATTAAGAATCCCATGTACCTGTTAGCAAAAGACAAAAAAAAAGAAAGAATACTATTTACAAATTTAAGCAATGTGCCACATGTCAGATACTATCTCATTTTGTCACCATTTCATGGTTTTGAATAAATATTTAATTAAAGGGATGTTTTATATTCATCAAAATTTTAATATTTTTAGTTGTGCTATAAAGAAAAAAAATGTGAGAGAAAAAAGAAATGCAGGATGAATCCAAGAAAGGAGATGGCGAAAAAAATAGGAAAGGAATGTGTATGAAATTGTACAGAAAATGAAGGAAAAAAAAATAAAAAATTGCCTTCAGTTTCAAGTTTTTATTTTCATATAATATTTTTTACTAGCCCCTCCTTCCTCCATCCATCTTCATTCTTTATTTATTTCATATACTTCCTTGTTTTCTTTAGCACAAAAATTAAAATTACAAACAAATTAAACAAACTCTAAGTTATAACATCAATCGTAAATAACATTGATCTAACAGTTGACACATGACATTTTCATAGTCAATAGTAACCAAGAGATTACATGTTAGTTGGCTTGGCATCGATCTTACGTACCGTTCTGAGGTGATGCCGGCGATGTCCTATGCTAAGACCGTGTCCGCTGGTCATGTTTATGCTCTCTGTGCTATCCACATTCTGGAGAAAAGTGGAATGCTTCTTAGGCTCCATAAGAACATCATCAGCCTCAAACCCTACTTGCCAAACATGATTCAGCTTCGAAATATTGTAGACAGCAGGAGCCCGGGGCAAAATTAACGTTGCGGATATCGACATGTACCCAGGGTTTACTTCACCTCTCATGTTCTTGACGACAACATCATCAAAATCTTGTGAAGGCTGAAGCCTACAGCCCAGCTTGGTGTCACTGGTGATGTTGTATTTTCTAACTGCCAACGTTCCATTGGGCTGTTGAATGCCTATAATAGCCCTGGTCCCGACCATCTGCGGTCTTTGGGGACCTGGGTTTACACCCCAGGCTATCCATTTGATAGGCATTCTAATGGTGAGCAAGATGTCAATTTCGGTGTTACTGTGAATGTTCCACCCGAATTCTGCTCCTAGAGTGATTAGTTTCTTGCAGTTTGTAATGTTCATGGGATTGATGGGGCTACAATTGGAAAATTGCTCAGAAATTGGGAAAAGAAGTGAGGAGGAAACTGTTAATATGATGAGAATTACAGATTTGGTAGTGGCCGGCATGTTTGACTAGTTTGCTGAGTTTAAAGTTTCACCACACACACACACACACACACACACACATATATATGTGCTATGTACTTATGATGAGAACACTTTTCACTTTTTTATTTTTTAATTTATTTGTATAATTCGGGTAAGATTAAGGAAGAAGTCAAGAATATATAGTTTACAACTTTACTCTCTTTTTAGTTTTTACAGCTTGTTAGCGTCACATCGCTGGTGCTTTGTAAGTGAGAAATTGCTTTCTTCCTGAGCAACCCAGCCATTTTTCTGTTTAGCTGTCAGAATTTGATTCTTTATTCATCGACAAAACTTAAAAATATGTAATTGTTGTTGCTTGTCTAATGCTTCAACAAATGTTCATACCTCCGTTCGAGTTCTTGAGGGTGAAGTTAATTTTGTTCATCTTTAAACCTAACAATTTAAATTTGTTTGTTGATCTTGTTCTTGTGTAACCAGCTAGCTGGTACGTATAAAGGTCAAGTCTAAGTATAGTTCTGCTTATGCCCTTGTAGATACTTCGGTTAAGTATATATATAAAATATCGACAACATCAATAGCATATATTGACTAAGCGTAACTAATTTTGTTTTATTCAATATTGTTTTTTTTTCAAAATACCGTCGAGGTTTCTTAAATAAAAAAATATTGACCATTATATTCACATTTTAAAACAACTAGAGTTAATGATACTGTTAAGGCAAGTGGCTTTTTCTACAGTGGTGAAAAAAAGTTGAGTCCTTGCATGACGGTGTGGGTTCAAACTCCGTCGTTAGCTAATCTAACAGAATATATCGTTTAACAAAAAAAAAAATGATATTGTTAAGAAATAAAAGAATCAGAAGAAAAAAAGAGCAAACCTATTACAAACTATGATTTTAATTCTATTAATTAAAAGAAAAACATATTTGCCAAGAATCATTCCACCGAGTTAAAGGGTGTATTTATATACACATAATTCTTAAGAAAAAAGAAAGCAATATGTCCTAAAAAAAAAGAAAATTAATCATAATTCTTATCCAACTAACAAATCATAACATAAATTAAGTAATAAAGATACCCTAACATAGAATACACCAAATTGTTAATGTTCCAACACTTCCAGTTTTACTCATGATAGTAAACAACATCAGTTTTTCTTTTGGAAATCTGATGCTAATTGTTGATGCCGACTTGCCATATGAGGAAAAAGACTGGTACGATTAAGCTTTACTGGTTCCCACAATGGAGGAAAGAAAGTTCTTCTACTAAATTACTATGCCTTACCCAGAAATTAAAACTAGAATACCAATGTGTCGATGAAAACTTGTTCCCATCGATCGTACTTTAGCTGCCTCTGAGATGAAGCAAAATTAAAGATTCAAAAAAGGGAAAGCTAATGAAGATGTTGTGTAAAGTACTAGCGACCCCTTAGTGTTCAAACCACTAGTCGAACGTGTCAACCAAGGGACCATTAAGGTGATGTCTGCACTTTTACCGTGCAAACATATATGCCAACATTATGCGTATTCATGACAAAATATAAAGAAAGGAGCTCGTATTTTCAGACCAACAAAAACGAAAAGATCGTGTTTCATGTTGTCTCGATGTATTCAACCCAAACAAATTTGTTTGAGCCATAAATAAAAATAGGGTAAATGACAAAAAAACTATCTCAACTATTGGTGTCACGACACTTTCATACCTCATTTTTTAAAATTGATAATGTCATACCTCATCTTACAAATTTGTGCCAATGTCAGATCTCCGTCAGTTTTTCTATTAATTTCTCTATTAATTGCTGACGTGGCCAGAGACAGGACCTACTCACTAATCCAATTGGATTAAAAAATAATTAAATATATTTTTAATGATTAAATATTAAAAAATTAAAGTAAAATTATTATTTTTATATAAAATTGTGGGATCCACCCTCTCTCTCCTCTCTTTCTCTCGCCTTTCTCTCTGGACACTTGCATCCCCAAAACCTTTCCCACCTATCCCTCCTCCTCAACCTTCCTCCCCTTCACCCTTTCTTCCCACTGCTCCCCGTCTTCCCCAAACTCAAAACTAGAACCACCCAACCCAGATCTCACCCCGCTTCTGTCTTCTCCGTCTTCCCCGAACAGTTTGGACCACACCCATATCCAACAATTTGTTGACCCGATGTACACCGTCCCGTCGTTCGACACCGCCAACGCGTTCACGGCGTCCTCGTGCACCTTGACCGACTCGACGCAGCATCCACCCTCTCTCTCTTCTCTATCTCTTTTTGGACACTTGCATCCCTAAACCCCTTCCCACCCGTCCTTCATCCCCAACCTTCCTCCCCCTCACCCTTTCTTCCGCCCGCTCCCCGTCTTCCCCAAACTCAAAACTAGAACTACCTAGCCCAGATCCCACCTCGTTCCCGTCTTCTTTGTCTTCCTTGAACGGTTTGGACCACACCCAAATCTGACAATTTGTCAACCTGGTGTATACAGTCCTGTCGTTTGACACCGCCAACACATTCATGGCGTCCTCGTTCGACGCAGCAGAGATTCGAGTCCCGCCAAATCTTCAGGCTCTTGTCCCATAAGCCTGAGTAAATCAAGGCGTTGTTAATGGTGATGCTAATGACAGCGTTGGCATGTTGGATCCAGAGGCATTTCTCGTGGCCCGATGTGGCGTAGAGGAGGTTGTGGTTGATGGCGAGGTAGGTGATTGAGAGGGAGGGGCAGCGGGGCGGGAGAGTGGTGAAGTAGAGGTGGGAGATGGAGAGATTGAGGGGGTCTAGAAGGGAGAGTTTCTGTATGGAGAGGATAGATGGCAGCGTCTAGAGGGAGAGGTTGCGCAGAGAAGACGGGAGCGGGGGAGGGGGGAAGAAAGGGTGAGGGGGATAAAGGTTGAGGGGGGGGACGGGTGGGAAGAGTGGTAAGGGTTTTGGGGATGCAGGTGTCCAGAGAGGGAAAGAAGAGAGATAGGCAAGAGAGAGAGGAGAGAAAGGGTGGATCCCACAATTTTATATAAAAAATTAATTTTATTTTTAATTTTTTAATATTTAATTATTAAAAATATATTTAATTATTTTTTAATCCAATTGGATTAGTGAGTGGGTCCTGTTTCTGGCCACGTCAGCATCAAGCCTTTTTATGGATAATATTCTTCTTTGAATATATAAATTTATCTTTGAAAATGTTTGCTTAAATCTTTTTATATGCTCATTTGTTTTGGCTAGGAAATTTACATTTTTCAAAGAGTGTTTTTAGCTTTGAGCTACCTCTTATGTTCTTCATTGAAATCCTAACTACAAAACTATATTCATGTATTGAGCACATAATCATTGCATATTATGGTAGCATTGTCTTCACGGTTTTGTTTTAATTTGGTGGTTAAGTTCTTCAAGTTTCAAATCTTTAAACTGACCCTATTTTCGAATTCACGTCAGTTTTTTCCTTCAACTGTTTGACTGAAGAAACTGACTAATAATTGAATCCAGATTGCACACTATCATATCATGTGTGTTCATTGGTGTTGGTTTCGATTTGAGCTACCTCTTGTATTCTTCATTGAAATCCTAACTGCAAAACCATATTCATGTATCAAGCACCTAATCATTGCATATTAGGGTAGCATTGTCTTCACGGTTGTACTTTATAATTTGATTGTTAAGTTCTTCAAGTTTCAAATCTTTAAACTGACCCTATTTTCGGATTCACGTCAATTTTTTCCTTCAACTGTTTGATTGAAGAAATTGACTAATCATTGAATCTAGATTACATTTTCATCATTATGATATCATGTGTATTTGTTGGTGTTGGTATTGGTGCCACAAGGTGAAGAGTTCAGGAAGAGCTGTTATCTTGTGAAGACTGGAGACGACTATATTTCGGTACAAGATGAAGAGTTCAAGATGAGCTGCCACCTCGTGAAGACCGAAGAAATCCTTAACTCGTGCAAAGTAAGGTTACACAAAGGTAAAGCTGCTTGATAGACTAGGTATAGGAATTAAGCTTTGCGTGGTACTCTGCAAAAACCTAATTTGCATTAGTAGATTGGACTTAACGGAGAATCCCAGGTTTTTTAACCCAAAGAAAGGTTTTACTGGCAAAAAACTTCTTGCATTTTTTGTTTCTTAAACTTGTTGACATATCTTATTTACTAACATATATTTCATGCATCCTATGAGTTGTTATTTGATAAGTGTTTGTGACTAAGTTTACACCGCATATTATGAGTAATTAAATAAATTGTTGCTGGCTAGGATAACTTGTAGTAAATTAAGTTTGATTCATAGATTTGCATTTAGTTAACTGATGAATATGTACTTAGTTGGCTGGTGGTTTTGACTAGTCAATCCAGTATACTTCAATTCATAATTGCTTTGTTAATGTTATTTGCATAATGAATTGATATGTGAATGTGTTTTGGTTCGAGAATTCTTGTTGTAAAACTGATCAGGGAAGATTATGACTAGTTGGACGTACTAGTTAATTAGGATTTGTTCTTACAATTGCACTTTCTATCACTAACAAACTTATAACTAGTTGACTAGTCTATTGTGCAAAGTTAAATTTTTATTTGCAGGATATTCCGCTCGGTAATAATTTCAAATTCTTTCCAACAATTTTGTTATGCACTTTGATTCCATGTCTAGCTAAACCTATCATCCTAAGGTTAGGATGAAACATTTGATTTAGTTTCTTAATTTTAATGTGAACTTGATGCAATTTTCATTTTGTGTTCTTGAATCTCTAAACGTAATGCATCATTGATTATTTATGGTTTGATGCTTAGCTACCATTTTTCCATAGATATAATTGTGTTTGTTTGTGTTGAGTGATCATCTTGCCTTATATATAAGCACAACGATTTAGAGATTGCATATGCATATGAGCTTGACCTAGACTTGTATGGTGTGTGTATGTTTATCGTTTCCAAAGAGCTTAATGGATTGTTGTATGTTAAATTAGACTGACTATAGGCTAGTTGCATGCGAAAATATTTGACTCTTGCCATGACCATTGGGAGAAATCATAGCAAATTGAGTTGGACCAAGACCTTTTTGTAGGTAAACTTCAAGAATTAAAT